TTTTTTCTATTAATTTTTTCACCTTTGGCATTTGTAAATTTAAAGCTAGCATTTACAAATTTTAGTGCATAAAATAATCTCATCCTAGCATACAAAGCAAGCAAATAATCGTATGGAAAGTTTTGGCATGGATGAACAAATGTAGCTTGCTTATATAAATTTAAAAATTTCAACATAGTAGTTGTTTGTAAAATTATATTTTCAAAATTTTCACTAAAAATTTGCTCTAATTCACAAATGTAAAAAAAGAAATTATCGTTATATTATAATTTTTTGTTACGTGTAGTTTGTTCCTTATTACTTTTATATTAAATTTTACCACAACAACGGAATCATATATAATAAATTTTTTATATTTATTTCATAACCACCGTTGTTGTTCGTTTGCGACGACTTTTTAAACAAAAAGTGTGTTATGTTTACTATCTTTTCCAAGAATTCCAAACACGAGGGAGAGAATAAGGCAGGCGCACAACAGGGATCCTGTATGAAAATTCATCGGACGAAGATTTTACCTTTTATTGTGAAAATTACATTTTTATACTATTTGTACAATTCTACTGGAAAAGCAGTCTTAAACAAGCAAAACCGGCAAAAATATTGTAACAAAACTGCCAAATTTCAAATATTTTAGACTAAAGTCACTAGATCTACTATTACTTTTAGAAAGTACGGCAAACTGCCTGTGGTCGGAATTCGACAGAGAGGAACCTAACCTATGTGTTAAACAAAGATAGCGCGAGGCTAGTAATTTTCGCTATCTGTCAACGAAAGTTTGATGTGTTTACGATTTGAGGTTACGACAGACTGTACTAGAATTATTGAGTTAACGGACCGGAAAGAACACTATTCCAGTCCCAAAGTAACTCCAGCCCTATTCAACGAGAAAGTGTCACCGGTAACCAGCAAACAGTCGTGGAAGACGTGTTACCATCAAGGCAATTGACGGCCAAATGACAGTAACAGGATCGCCATACTGGAAGCAAAAAATACCTGCTGTGGAAAAGACGGAGCATAACAAGGACACAGATATATTTCTATTTCATAAAAGTTACTAATTGCCACACATTTCAAGATCGAGTCACATTATTTTAGACGTCAGTTGGGCGCCCTCATTCGGTCATAATGCGAACGACCACCCACGAAAACGGGTCACGAAAAACGGCGAGCCGTCTCTACTGATTGTTATCTATGCTGTGGTTTTTACAATGAAGCGAAATGTGCCATGTATAGTAAGTTACCAAAAAGAATCGTAGTATTACAGGCACCTATCTGTATACCGGGTGTTTCTTTTATTTGATACAACCCCTGTAAATTTTTTATTTTTAAAGATAAATCTGTAGTTCTTTGAGCAAATTTGTATCATTTTAAAAGATCTAGTGATGGCAACAATTTTTCTATTGTTTTTCAAGCAACTAGATTTTGAAATAAACGGACAATTTTGGAGATATTTTACTAAATAACTTTTTTATTATTGATTTTAGAATATCGGTTGCTTTTGATTTTTTGTAGTGAAAAAATCAATCTTTCCATTTATGAAAAAATATACCTAGTGTTCCATTAAAAAAAAATAAGTTGACGTCATTTCCGGTTCTACCGCCAGTGATAATAAAAATGTGTGTTTACCATCATATAAATCTTTTAGAATGATACAAATTTGGTTAAAGAACTACGGGTTTATCTTCAAGAATAAAAAAGTTAGAGGGGTTGTATCAAATAAAAGAAACACCCTGTATGTATAATCTCCAATATTATGTTATATATGTATATATGAATTCATTGTATTTTTTTAACTTACAAAGAAATATGCTTGTTCTAATAGGCAAAGATAATCTTGTAATTCGTCAAAATTTGTTTAGGTGTGGTCTTGGCGTAACTTCTATATTTGTTTACTTTTTCAGTTGTCAGATTTGATGACGTTTCCATGTTGGAGATTTTTTCACTCGTTTCCTTTAGCATTTCTTTCGTTTCGCACATGTGTTTTGTATTTGTTTCAAATCTAGAATAAAATTATGTTCATTAGCATTAGTTCATAAAAAATTGCAATAACATACCTTTGCAATATTTTATGGAGCCTTATTTTCAAAAACAATCACCGTAAGTTCTTCATAATCAGTGGGAGTATCTTCAGTGATTAATTGTGGTCTTTCTAGCTTATCTGAAAAAACTGCTTTTGTTATCTACGTACAGTTATCAAAAATAACAGAAACACGTACAAATTAAAATGATTACTTTATTAGATATTAACTTACCTAGTGTAAATAAGTACAACCCACACAGAATGGCAGAAATTTTCACAAAACTGCGTTAAAAATGAAGTGAGTAACGGATACACGAGAAAGTTTCGGTGGTTGAGAACCAACTGGAAATATTAGAATGCTTCACTGTGAAGTGCAATAAACATAAATACCGAAAAAAGGGAAAGTCCGAATGCACACCCCAAACATCTGATGTATTGTATAGTAAATGCGGAAGTTGAGCATTATTTTTTCATTAGATGAAATAAATTTAATAATACTAAATATTAATCACTCTCTAATTTTTTTGGTAACCATCATCACTTTATAAACGTCTTTATAAAATCAAAATTCGACGAAGGAATTCTTCAAGACCTTGTCCCATTTTAGGGACAATGGACAAAGAATTTTTATGACTTTGTTTGTGTCGTTGGGTCTTTTATATAATAATAATAATAATTTTATATAATATTATACGCTCAACCCCGGATGTTCTATTTATAATTTGCCAAGCAGGTACTTACAAAATAACACTTCCAGAGTAAACAAGTTTTCAGAAATAATTATTTTATTAGAAATTATTAGAATGAAAAAACTTGTCTCTGGTGTATTTCTAATAAAGCCGTTGTATTTTTTGCTCTAAATATAATTAAGCATTTTGAAGGCCACTTTTTAAAGAATACGACGACCCACATCTAATTGATCATATAATCTATAAAAAATGACGAACAAAAGACGGCCTTTTGACGTTATTAATTGACGTCAGAAGTAAGTCATAAAAATCTCGTCATTATCACGTGATTTTTTGGGCGAATGACGTCGCCGACGAGTTATGATCAAAAATTGACGTGAATTAGACGACAGTCTGCTGCTTGGGAATTTGGATGTCCAAGACAAAAATTCAATAGGGGTTCATAAAGCACATGTGCAGGAGTATCTTATTTTATAAAATTTAAATAATACATATTTACTACTGTAAATTTTGGAGATGACGTCAACAAATTGTTGGTAAGGGTGATTCGCTAAATTTTGATCATCCACATCATATTCGTGATACACATATAAAATTTAACAACTGGTTCAGTAGTTTCAGAGATTACTTGTTTTATAAAATCCGAACAGACGGTAGACAGACAGACGGAAGCGGGCCACCTATTGTTTCGTATTGAGTTTACGCTCTGAAAGTAAAAAGATGCTCTTATTAAATATCCACATACGTATATCGTTTACTGCATACGTGAAAAATGTACATATTTAAATAATTGTATAAACAAAAGAAGTAGACTGTTTCGGAGCCTACCAGGAAATTTTCCAGTGTCTCAGCGGCACAGTCCGACAGTGGATAACGTCATCAAATTGTGGGTGGGATGGTCAGACAAATTTCGGTTAGCGTTTTACCATCTACATCAGTGATTTTCAATCTAGGGGTCGCGAAGCCTTACTTGGGGGGTCGCGGACCGAAAGGGAGATAAAGGTACAGAACAACATTTGTAGGTTTTCCACTCACCACTGCAATAAAATGACAATCAAAATCAGTGAGAAGGCTGTGCCTGTTTATTTTTCAATATTTTTTCAAAACGTGGGTCTATCTTTGCAACGCAAACAATCAAATCGTTCTCTAATTGGAGTCTATTTCTTTTCTTATTTTTAATGTTTACATTGTAAAGAATGTTAGCTACGATGTGGCAAATGGTACTAACAATTTCAACGCTTCATTTTGTAGCTCTGGATATTCCTCTTTCTCTTAATCCAGAAGACGTCAATTGTTTCTAAATGGAATTCCATTTGCAGCATTTCGTTGGCAGCTAGGTGAATAAGATTTGCTTTTATATTTGTTGTCAGATCAGCCAATTACACTAACATATCCAAAAAAGGATTCATTATTCATCTTTGCCCATTGAGAGGCCTCTTCTGGAAAGTAACTTATTAGTTTCTCTTCCAGATCATGCAATAATAATCATAATAAAAGATATGGGGGGGGGGTCGCCACAATTGTTTTTAATCGTTAGGGGGTCGCGTGTTCAAAAAGGTTGAAAAACACTGATCTACATGATAGGTATTCTGTAACGACCACTTAATTCCGTCGCCACTTTATTAAAATAATACGCAATTTCGGGAAAACGAGTATAATAATGGCATAATATTTACAAAGTACATTATTCTAATTACAAACTAGATCGACTGTATCTAGCCGCGACCGAACGGGGAGAGAGCGAGTAGCTCGTCCGTGAGGGTTGTTTAGGGTTGCCTCCTAATGTGACTCGATCTTGAAATGTGTGGCAATTAGTAACTTTTATGAAATAGAAATATATCTGTGTCCTTGTTATGCTCCGTCTTTTCGACAGCAGGTATTTTTTGCTTCAAGGATGGCGATCCTGTTACTGTCATTTGGTCATCAATTGCCTTGGTGGCAGGGGTCCTGAAATGAGATAGCCTTCACCTTATCCTCTCACTGCGTGGTTCAGAGCCCGCCGCCAGAGGTCGGAATAAAAAGATATCTGTAAAAGCTGATTGGCGCAGATTTTCAAAATTTTAAAATTTGTTTACACCCCCTCCTCTTCTACCCTTTGTCATCACTTTCACCCCAAATGAATCACCATTCAATCACTCAGTTCATTTACGTTTTTCTCGTTTTTCTGCGTGATTTGTGTTTGAAACGACTTGTGAATTTATTTTATTGAATTTCAGTGTCTAATTTACAAATGTGAGTACATAAGTTTGATTTTACAATATTATTATTATTATCAATTTTTGTAGAAAAAAATGCAAGGCAGTCATACATGTTCTGTACACGAATGTGCTGCGAGATTGAAACCCATCTTTAGGTTTCCACACCCAAATCGGGGCCTTGATCGGTTTCTCGCGTGGGTTAAAGCCGCGAATAACCCAAAATTCGTGGTTTTGACCCACGACCAAATTCACCGAAGGGGGTACATTTGTTTCCAGCATTTTCAACCCGAGGATTATGTACCAGGAACACAAAGGCTGCGTCGATCTGCAGTACCAACCATTTTGCCTCCTCGAGGTAAACAAATTGAAAGTTGCTAGAAAACAAATATTACGATATCTTTACTTATAGATGATAACGAACTGCGTTCATCACTCGAAGCAGATCAGATCGACGTGTCCAATGTAGGGCCACAAACCATTGATCTCACTTTCCTCACTCCAGAAAAAGAATGCCCGTACTTTCATGCAATAGCAAATTTAACTCCACGTACGAGACGAACTCCAAGTTCTCAAAGTAAGTAACCATTGCAACTATTTCAGTATGTATAGCACTAACTATTTTCCACTTTATAGGTTTAGCTACTAAACTGGAGACTCTCGGGGGTAGAAGTGCATGGAGTACTGGCGTTCCAGTGCGACAACTGAATTTTGGAGCAGGTATTGTAGTGCTAAAAAAATTAAATAAATCGAGAGAAAATAATATTACTTACCTTACAGAAGAGGATGGGATCAATGAGCTCCCTGGTGCTGGGCCTTCGGGGTTACAAAATATTCCAAAAATAGGTAAGAAACTGTAATGTTTGACCCCATGTTTTACAAATGATAAAATATAAAACTGTGGTGGATTGCAAAACTTCATCATTTGTTTATAAAACAACATTTTTGTACCGCAGCGTGGCGTCACTTCGCTTTTCTGTGCGTATATGTCATATGTTCATTAATCGCCAACACCTGTCAAAGCAGGTAAAAAAGCAGTGGCGTAACTTCGGCTGGTGAAACACCTTTTTGTTTCGACTTGAGATTGTAATGTTTTTGTATTGACAAAAAAATATTTTATTATATTTACATTGGTAAATTTACCAATAATAAATATAATAAAAATAAAATAAAACATTTTAGGTATGTGTTTTATTAATTTTTATAGTAAAAATGATGAAATTAGTTCGCATCAGCCTTCAAACCGTACAGTAATAATTCTTTTACTGCATAGCAACCTCAAATTCATTAAAACAAAATATATTATACGCGCCTCCATAGAAAAGTCTTTTCACAACTCGTATACTATTAAGTTAACTTATAATTAATTTATATTGCCCATTTTTAGATTTTGCTGGAAACTTTGTACCTGCCAGGCAGTCGGTGGATACTTCCAAGTCCATGACCAAGACTCCACGTATGTATTTTGATATACAGACTAAAAATGATGAAATTAATTCATATTCGTGTACATTACAGGAAAAATATTAGATCGGCTGGGGATCAAAGGGACCACCGTCAATTTTAGCAGCAATGAAACCCTGCTGTACGTGGAGGCGAAACGCCTGCAAAGGCAAGTGGGGAGACTGCAGAGGCAGGCACAAAAGCGCAAAAGCGCACTTCATTCTGTTAAACAACTTCTGCGAGATCGACAACTGGTTCATCTCGTGGAAGGGTTGTCTCCCCTACAGCAGAGATTTTTTAACAGCCAGATTAGAAATGTAAATCGTAAACCGAAAGGCAGAAGTTTTACGTTTGAGGAGAAGGTAGATGCCATTGCCATTTGGAAACATGGCCCAAAAACGTATAAACTTCTGTCAAGAATGTTTACGCTGCCGTCTATTGACACTCTGAGGGCAACCCTAAATAAAGTTCCAATAGAACCGGGTATCAACAAACCCATTTTCGAAGTTCTCAGAAAGCAAGTATGTCGCAGAATGGACAGTAAGTACAATTTATGTACTCTCATCTTTGATGAAATGTCCATTCAGCCTCACCTCGACTACTTGCCTTGTGAGGACAGAGTTGTGGGTTTTGAAGATCACGGTACAACAAGGTCGGAAAAAATTGCAGACCATGTTTGCGTATTTATGCTAAGAGGAATTTTCAAAAGGTGGAAGCAGCCTGTTGCTTTTGCTTTTTGCAAAAACTCTATGTCTGCTGCAAACATTGTCCGTTTTTATAAAGAGATTGTGAAAGAAGCAACAGCGGTCGGCTTAAACATCATTGCTTCAGTTTGTGATCAAGGTATTACAAACAGTGCCGCAATCAATATGCTTTTACAAGAAACCAAACGACGTGCTATTTTGGGAAATGAAGAGGAAGTTGAAGAGAATGTGATAAGAATTGGTGATCACGAAGTTATCCCTCTCTTTGATCCTCCTCATCTTCTAAAAAGTATGCGAAACAATCTTCTCACCAAAGGGAGGGTATTCTATGCTTGGTGGTAACACGTCTTCCACGACTGTTTGCTGGTTACCGGTGACACTTTCTCGTTGAATAGGGCTGGAGTTACTTTGGGACTGGAATAGTGTTCTTTCCGGTCCGTTAACTCGATAATTCTAGTACAGTCTGTCGTAACCTCAAATCGTAAACACATTAAACTTTCGTTGACAGTTCCTACATTTGATAGCGAAAATTACTAGCCTCGCGCTATCTTTGTTTAACACATAGGTTAGGTTCCTCTCTGTCGAATTCCGACCACAGGCAGTTTGCCGTACTTTCTAAAAGTAATAGTAGATCCACGACCTGCTGCATTAGTTAATACGGCCTGTTCATAACTGTAGTTCCACTGTATCCTCCGATTTTAGTGAGGGCGCTAGCGGATGGGCGCATTTTAGGAATTTTTATTATTTTATGTTGGTTGGATGGTACTCACTGTTTTTTGGTGTCAAATCTGACATTCAAATTAAAATTCTCTTGAGAATCTTTAAGCGCGCTGAAAGTAGTTATTTGTGAAGTCCATTTGTTATTGTTCGTTGTTTTTCTTTTTGATTTGCAGTTTTCGTTCCATTTTTATTTGTTTTGTGGTGTTTCGTTCCCATTTTGTCGTTTCAACTCGTTTAGTGTTTCGTTATTATTTCATAGTTTAATTAGTGTTTGTTTTTTGTTGTTTTGTTCCTATTTGGTCGTTTAACTTCAGTTAGTGGTTCGTTATTATTACATAGTTTAAGTTGTTACGTTAATTTTACTGGGACGAAAATGCGGTTCCACAAAAAATGCATTGTGCCCCAGTGCCCTGCCAAGTACTCAAAGTCTTTCCATCAGTTTCCCTCTGAGCCCCTCTTAAGAGAAAAATGGCTACATAAAGTAGAGAAGTTTTGTTGTAAGAAAAGCTTATTGAACACTTATTTTTTTTAATACTAAATATTAATTATTATAGCTCCAACGCAGCAGATCGTCAGTCAGTACTCAACCATTTGCAATTTGCACTTTAAACCCACAGATTTTAAGTTTGCAGCAAATGGTAGTAAACGCTTGCAAAAAAATGCAGTTCCAACAGTTTTTCATGTATATTTATTTACATTTTAAACTTAACAGAAATAAAATTATAGTTTTTATAGGGTGACGATGCTTATTACGCATCCATACACGAATCCTTCGTTGCCCTTGCCCAGTCTTCTACTCCTTTAAATATCAAGCCCTCATCATCCATTATTCCTGTAATTACAATCCTTACAACTGTGAAAATATAAGCGAACAGTACATTAATACCGTAATTTAAAGTTAGGAGTAAAATTATTTTTCTGTTCCTACCTATTTTCACACTTTTTTAGAACTTTCCTCTAATAATTATTTATTTTAGAGTACTGTTACTCCAAGATTATCTCCTCCCTCCCAATCAACATCCACGTGTCCAACATCGACAGAAGAACCTCCAGTAATATTTTATTGGCAGTTAATAAATTTTAATCATATTTTTTTAAATTGTAGAATCCTGATTTAAGTCACTCAACAATTCCTTCTGAACCTGAGTCCTTATATAATGAATCCCAAACATTAAGTTCCAATACTGATCTTCGTCTTGATGATATATCAAAACTTAAACTTGAAATCAAAAAACTGAAAATGAAAGTAAACCGTTTGGACAAACAGAACAAACTGAAAAATAAACAGCTACAAAAACTGCAATTAAAAATTGACAATCAAACGAATCAAGCCCGTATATTCGAAAAAATTGAAGCTGATGCCAAGAATAACGACCCAAAAGCCACATTTCTATTAGACCAAATATTAAATTACAACAAACAAAAATCTAGATGGTCAGAAGTAACTGTAAGATCATGTATTGCCTGGAGGATTTCATCCCCAAAGGGATACAACTATGGTAAAGCTTCTATATTGAAATTACCTAGTCGAAGTACTTTAGAACGGTATATAGGAAATGGACAAGATGTTACAGGACTTATAGAGGCACGCTTGAAAGCAGAAGCCGAAGTGCTACAACCCGTTGAAAGGATTTGTAGTTTAATTGTTGACGACATGTCCATCAAGGAAAAACTGTGTTACAGCCGCACAGAAGACAAATTCTATGGGTTAGAGACTACCAATGAGAGTAGTCAAACAATTGGAAAAAAACCAACGTTGGCCAACAAAATGTTATGTTACGTTGTTCACGGCATGACTACTAAGTACACGATACCCGCCGGATATTTCTTCCATCGAACTCTAAAAAACATAGATTTTGTGAATTTGACGTTAAAAGTAATGAAACTTTTACATAATTGCGGATTTACAGTTTTAAGAATTGTGACAGATAACCATAAGTCAAATGTGGCCCTTTTCAAATCTCTGTCATCAAGTAATAATTTAATGACTCATATTCAACATCCAATAGAACCAACAATACCATTATTTATGAGCTTTGATTACTGTCATATTATTAAAAATTTGAGGAACATATTTTTGGACCATGACATGCATTCTGGTAACGGTATAATTTCTGCACGATTTTTAAAGAAAATATATGATATGCAACACAAATTAATTGTTAAACCGGTAAAGTTTTTGACCAGGAAGCATATTTGCCCAACCAATTTAGAAAAGATGAACGTCCGTCGTGCTGTGCAAGTATTTTCCATAGAAGTAAGAGCAGCAATAGAGTATTTGGGAAAATATAACAATCCAGGTTTTGTTGATGTTGAAGAGACTCTAAAGTTTATGGAAATGATGCACACATTTTTTAAAATTCATGATGTCAATGACAAAACTCAGCACATCCGGCAACTAAATGAAGATAGTGCTCCATATACAGATATTAATGATGAACGCCTTCTCTGGATGTTAAAAACTTTACCTGCTTATATAGATTCCATTCAACTATCTTCAAAGGCAAATAAAATGACGGGATTGACTAAAGAGACTGCAGAAGCAGTAAAATTCACTGCCAAAAGCACTGCAGAATGTATCAAGTATTTACTGGAAGAGAGTGGCTTTTTCTATGTCTTAACGCGAGCATTTAGCTCAGATGCAGTTGAATCGATGTTTAGCAATGTCCGATTATGCGGTGGTTCTCAGGACGCTACTGATGCCAGGGCTGCACACTATACTATTAAACGAATAATTAAGTCAGGTTTAGTAACAACTTCAGAATCAGCAAATGTATATTCTGACTGTAATCACTTGAGTAAAATTGGTCAAATTCAGTCTTCTGAAAGATCTACAACAGAAACAAATATACATATACCTGACAGTATAATTGACGAAATTAGTGACCTTCATAAATTAACATTCGTTAATACCATTTTCACAGATATCAACTCTGCATCAGTTGCGTTTTTATCTGGATATATTTGTAGAACAATTGAAGAAAGGTTAGAGTGCAAAAATTGTTTAGATTCATTACTAACCACCGCAAAATCTACCCCGTTGCTTGACTTGATATATCTGCAAGACAGAGGAAAATTAAAATATCCCACAAGATCATTCACAAATTTTATAAATAAAATTATAAAAATTACATTTGATATTTTGGAACACATACCAGTAAATCATCATCCAAGAACTGTGGTGGAGTCTTTGTTATTAGAGCCAATTGCCAGTTCAGCTTTTTTGCCTTGTAAAGATAAAAACCACAAAGTAATGGTTGCGAACTTAATATTGTCTAAAGTGTTGAAACCAATTTTTGCAAATTTTGGTTATACAAGAACTGAAAATGTTACATTGTTTAGTAATTTGACCCATAAACCCCATTCAAGAAAAGTATTAAAATTATAAACATACCTGTCTGTTTTTTTATATTCTTCCAGCGCTAATTAGGGTGATATTTTACAAAAGGCACTTCTCGATTTCGCACAAACTGTTTGGTTACAATTCTTCTACACCACCCCCTAATCACGTTCCTCACCTTCAAATGTTTCCTTTTGCTACAAAAAAAAAATGTTAAATTTCCCAATTCATACACTCTTTAACGGGAAAAGCTGTTTCCAATATAACCTAACTTTTTATAGTCACCAACACGCGAGGAGTAATGTCGGGAACAGAAGAAAACAGTTGTACAACTTTTGAAGGTGCGGAACGTGAACAGGGGGTGATGTAGAATTGCTTTGGGGAAACAATTAATGGGAAATCGAGAAGTGCCTTTTGCAAAATTTCACCTTTGCTAGTCCTTTTTGTTGTAATTTTCAACCATAGAGAGGATACGATGTATGATTCAACGTTTAACCGTTTAATAAATTGTTCAAAACATTTAACCTAACCCGATTTAACCTATTTATAAAACTTCAAATTTGAAGTTTGTTTTAGAGATGGGTCGTTACTTTAGGAACCGTTCCATTGTAGCGCTACCATCGAGTAGCGGAGTGTAGCGCTCCTCGCGACAAAAGTAACACGTTCCACTCTGCGTTCCACTTGGAACTTGAAACGATATTTGTACGGGAGTTACGGGACGGAAATTCAAGGAACGAAATCATAAAACACGTTTGTCCGGAACGTTACAAGAAACGCAAATAGTGAGGGCTTGGGAACTGAAAAAAAAGAGAATAACCTTTCAGTCATTAAAATAATTGTATGTTTATCAACACAAAAAAAGATATCAGGAAACGTTTATAAATAGGTATTTATTTTATAATATTTATGAAAAAAAAAAAAGAAAAACAAAATGTATGCAACGCAGATCAAAAGTAAAGGTTTAACAATATTTAAATAAACAGATAAAATAAAAAGCAAAGCGGTTTTATCATAAAGCAATCGGCAAAATCAGCAAGTGTTGTATTTTGTTTGAGGGCGGTATCAAAGACGCTGCATATTCGATAATTTTTTGTAAGAATGCGACGGTCGATATAAATGACTTATTATCAGAAAAGATATAAAAGCTTAGGTATAAAATAGTTTATAAATAAGTTTTAATTGAATACATGTACATATTTCAATAGGAACCGAAAAAAATTGTAAAATCTCAGTCTAGTAGAAGATTGGGAATTAACACAGAAAGTTGCGAAAACAAGACTATAAAAATATTTGTAGTTTTGTTTATTTTATTATTTTTTTTATTAAAATGAAAGTAGAGTGCCCGTCCTAATTGTTGTCAGTATTTATTGTGTCCAGAATGTCCGTTCGCTACATATTGGTACTTGAGATTGGAACATTCGTTCCAAGTTCCAAGCGGACAAGTGGAAGCGTCGTACTCAAACGCCACTCGTGATGAATACGTTCCAAAGTAACTAGTTACTTGGAGCGCTATTTTCTTGTAGCGGTAGCGGTTGTAGCGCTCCACGCGTGGAACGATTTTGCCCATCTCTAGTTTGTTTGACAATTGTCAAGGTCAAAAGCGCCCCTCTAGTGCTGCCCTCACGCCCTGACGGCAAAATTTTTTCAATGCATTTTTGTGGAAATGAACAGGCAGGATATAATACAGCCGGCAGTGAGTAGATCTAGTACTAGTGACTTTATTGCCTCCACTCCCGTAGCGCCATCTAGTGAGCTCGCGTTACAATTCTTTAAAATACCTGTAAGATTGGACAACCATCAGTCCATTAGTTTCAGAGAGTATTGAAACGTCGAGAAAATATGACGGATGGATTCTATAACAAAATGCTTGCTAGAGCACGTTCAGGAAGTAAAAATTAGACAGCACCAACAGCTGGAGTTGTTGACGTAGGTAGCAGGGCCGGCTCAACACGGTAAGCGAAAGATGCACCGCATCGGGGCGCCCGTGACAAGGGGCGCCGGGCGGCGGACGCCGCCTATGCTTTTATATTAACTCTATAAAAATAAATTAATATTAGATTTGCATTGAACCACTACCAACAAAATATTATACCAGTAACAGACCAAGGAGCCCATCAAAAACTTTTCAGAAAAAGCTACATTTTAACATTCCACTATGACCACCAAAACAGATCCCAAGTCAATTCCTGGCACTTTTAAACTGTAATAATTAAAAAGAGTGCGCCTTTGGGTTGGATGATGGGACCTTTATTAGATCAATACCGACAAAAAATAACCAGATTTATGATGCATTATCTGGGTAACAATTTGACGAGACAGCGGTATGACCACAACCAGATGTTTTTCCTAACATTTGTCACGTTTGTTTTTACCATAAAAGTCCATATCGGCATACTTAAAAATTTTATTTTCCTAGTCTAGTCGGTTGGTTTTGGTTGAGGTGGTCGTTCAACAGTTTTGTTATATTTTTCACTGTTCCTGTTTGTGGCCGAATTTGGTTCTGTGTATCATTTCGTGGCTTTTTGTCATCATTAATTTTAAATTTAAATTTCGATTAACATTGAGGTAAGTCTAAATTAAAAATAACTTGGAAATCGTATCAATTTTACAGTATTAAAAATTGAAAAACGTTTGCAATATAAATATTTTTATACTTATACTATGTATAGTTTAGGAAATATCGTTGTACCCTATAAAATTTTATTGACAATAACGAGACGGACAGTAGTACAATGGTAAGAAATATTTATGGCTCACACCAGTCCCCCCGAATTTGTCGGAGAACATTTAGCAAGTAATTGTACGCATAGGGCGGACTTCCGCTTTAGAAATTTAAGGTCTGCGGATTACCACCACGCGACAACTTTAAGTTGTAAATATCTCTTGCTATTGTACTATTGTCCGTCTCGTTATTGTCAACAAAATTTTATAGGGTACAACAATATTTCCTAAAATATAGAAAAGTTGTTGCCCGCAGCTCCGTTTGCGTGGAATTCGCAATTAGGACTCATCATTTTTCATACACGATAGTTTTCCGGGTTGGAACCGTGTAAATTGAGTTTTTGGGCTCAACGTTTCGCACACTTTCGTAAGTGGTATCTTCAGGAGCAGGGTTAAGAATAAGGCAAAAGAGCAAGGTAACTCAGTATGTCAACCATATCAGAGGCGAAACTTTTTTGAGAAATTACACGGTTCGAACTCGGAAAACGATCATGTATTGATTCCGACCGTGGAAACCTCCGAAATTATCATTTTTCATCTCGTTCACTCTCCCTCCTCAGTGAACCCGTCTTAAAAACTCACGGGATTTATGCACAAAGGTTCATCCCCTATTTTGTCCCCGTAGGGGCGGAATTTCCAGAAATCTTTTCTTAATGGGTGCTTATGACACAAAAGGAACCTACTGTCCAAATTTCATGTTTGCAGCTTCAGTAGTTTGCGTTGATGAATCAGTCAGTCTGTCAGTTAAGACCCGTGGTTAAGACAAACACTTTTATATATTAAGATTGATTCATCATAATTTTTTGCCTGTTTGTTAATAAAAAGTATCTCTCTACAAAAATATGTGATTACAAAACTTTATTTGTTTTTTTTTACAAAATTTTTTTTAAGGGCGTTGAACAGTAAGTTGCATCGGGGCGTCTGGTCCCTTAGAGCCGGCCGTGGTAGGTAGGTAAACAAGTTGACGACATAAAGGTCGATGTCTGAAAAAACTGCACACGTGATTAAAGCGGAAGGTCATTATCGTTATCATTATCCGGTATGCAATATTTAATGATAGTATAAATGACCTCAGTAATGATGCAGAATAAATTAACGGAAGTGATATTTTTACGAAATTTTTATGTATCTGAAGGTTTTGCAAATAAACACGTTTTTCATTGCCTGTTTTTTTTTACTTAAACCTTAAACATTTTATTGCCAAATCAGCCCGACACTGAAATTTGATTCAATCCGACCCTGGTACATGTAACTTGGAACACAATTTTTAATGCAAATGATGTAACTTGCAGACCTTTAAATTTTGGTGGTCAGAACACCACAGAATGAAAAATAATGTAAACACGGTAATTTTAAAAGTATCAACATTTTCTCAAGAACTGAAGCTGAATTGAATTTGTGCAGTTTGTAACTTCACAAAAATGCTAGTTTTAAATTGTATAAAACACTGCTCAATTTTATCTAGTGGTAAAAAATGCATTTTTTTCATCCAACTCTGCCCACAGGAAGCAACACCTGCTTAATTATCTGTAACAACAGGTAGGTTCACTTCACTACCTACTAAGGGGGTAATTTCAAGTTGGATTTGCGAAATCGCAAGTGCCGTTGCTATGGTAATTTCGATGACAGTTGTTGCGACTCGCGATACGATTCGTCCTCGCGACTGCTGTCATTGCATCTTCCATGGCAACGAGGACTTGCGAAATTGTAAATCCAACTTGAAATTCACCCGTAAGTAAACAACATAGTAAGTCTTCAAATTCTTTATTATCTATTCATAATTTTAATAACAAAAAGTAAAAAATTGAAAAATATTACTGCCCTCCGCGAAGACGCAAAACTAAATGTAAGGTAGACTCTTTCTGAATATTATAATCGGAGAGGGTACGGCCATCTTCTAGCTGTTTGCCCGCAAAAATCAATCTTTGCTGATCTGGAGGAATGCCTTCTTTATCCTGAATTTTGGCTTTCACGTTTTCAATAGTGTCAGATGGCTCTACTTCCAGTGTGATAGTCTTGCCAGTCAAAGTCTTGACGAAAATTTGCATTCCACCTCTGAGTCGCAATACTAAATGAAGGGTGGATTCTTTCTGGATGTTATAATCAGACAGGGTGCGCCCATCTTCCAGTTGTTTACCAGCGAAGATGAGACGTTGCTGATCTGGGGGGATGCCTTCCTTGTCTTGGATCTTAGCTTTAACGTTTTCGATAGTGTCAGAGGGTTCGACTTCCAAGGTGATAGTCTTTCCAGTGAGAGTCTTGACGAAGATTTGCATACCACCGCGTAGACGCAAAACCAAGTGGAGAGTCGATTCCTTCTGGATATTGTAGTCTGACAAGGTCCTACCATCTTCCAACTGCTTCCCGGCGAAGATTAATCTTTGTTGATCTGGAGGAATGCCCTCTTTGTCTTGTATTTTGGCTTTTACGTTTTCAATAGTGTCAGACGGTTCTACTTCCAAAGTGATAGTTTTTCCAGTTAGAGTCTTGACGAAGATTTGCATACCACCACGGAGACGCAAAACCAAGTGGAGAGTCGATTCCTTCTGGATATTGTAATCTGACAGGGTCCTACCATCTTCCAATTGTTTACCGGCGAAGATCAATCTTTGTTGATCTGGAGGAATGCCTTCTTTGTCTTGAATTTTGGCTTTCACATTTTCAATAGTATCAGATGGCTCTACTTCCAACGTAATCGTTTTGCCGGTCAAAGTCTTTACGAAAATTTGCATACCGCCTCTCAAACGTAGTACCAAATGAAGAGTCGACTCTTTTTGAATATTATAGTCAGAAAGAGTTCTGCCGTCTTCTAACTGTTTGCCAGCGAAAATGAGACGCTGCTGATCTGGGGGGATTCCTTCTTTATCTTGAATTTTTGCCTTAACGTTTTCAATTGTGTCAGAGGGTTCAACTTCAAGGGTAATAGTCTTGCCAGTCAATGTTTTAACGAAAATTTGCATACCACCTCGAAGTCTCAAAACCAAGTGCAAAGTTGATTCTTTTTGTATGTTGTAATCTGACAAAGTGCGGCCGTCTTCTAGCTGTTTTCCTGCAAAAATCAACCTTTGCTGGTCTGGAGGAATGCCTTCCTTGTCCTGAATTTTGGCTTTGACGTTTTCGATGGTATCCGACGGCTCCACTTCCAATGTAATGGTCTTACCAGTCAAAGTTTTGACGAAAATTTGCATTCCACCTCTCAGACGCAACACCAAATGAAGAGTCGACTCCTTTTGGATATTGTAGTCAGAAAGGGTGCGTCCGTCTTCTAGTTGTTTGCCAGCGAAAATGAGACGTTGTTGATCTGGAGGAATGCCTTCTTTATCTTGGATCTTGGCCTTTACGTTTTCGATAGTGTCAGAGGGTTCAACTTCAAGAGTAATGGTCTTGCCAGTCAAAGTTTTCACGAAAATTTGCATACCTCCTCGAAGTCGCAAAACCAAATGAAGAGTAGACTCTTTCTGAATGTTGTAATCAGAGAGAGTACGTCCATCTTCTAGCTGTTTTCCGGCAAAAATCAATCTCTGCTGATCTGGGGGAATACCTTCCTTATCCTGAATTTTGGCCTTCACATTTTCAATAGTGTCAGACGGCTCTACCTCCAATGTGATAGTTTTGCCAGTCAAAGTCTTGACGAAAATCTGCATTCCACCTCTGAGACGCAATACCAAATGAAGGGTGGACTCCTTCTGGATGTTGTAATCAGAAAGAGTACGGCCGTCTTCTAGTTGTTTACCGGCGAAGATAAGACGTTGTTGATCTGGGGGGATACCTTCCTTGTCTTGGATCTTGGCTTTTACGTTTTCGATAGTGTCAGATGGTTCGACTTCAAGAGTGATGGTCTTGCCAGTCAGAGTCTTGACGAAGATCTGCATACCGCCTCTCAATCTCAAAACCAAATGCAAAGTGGACTCCTTCTGGATGTTATAATCGGACAAGGTGCGTCCGTCCTCGAGTTGTTTGCCAGCGAAGATCAAACGCTGCTGGTCTGGGGGAATACCTTCCTTATCCTGGATTTTCGCCTTGACGTTCTCGATGGTATCAGAAGGCTCAACTTCCAAGGTAATGGTTTTACCAGTCAAAGTTTTCACGAAGATCTGCATCTGCAAGGAAGAACGGAAAATGTTAAGATGACAAAGCAAATGTCCCGTGGCAGCCATATTGGAATTCCCGAACAAAGACAATCACTTAATTCCAATGATGCAACATTAAAACTACACGGAAATTCGACGAAGATTACTTACGGTGTAGTTTGTTGGTTGATTTCAACGAATTTACAAAATTAATTTTGTTAATTTAAATAAATGAAAAACGGGTCACCAAGGCGACGACGTTTTGCGCATTTCAGATAACAAATTTACAAATATGCTTTTCTTGTAACGTAATCTATATTCTAGTGATCTAGATAACAAGATTGTGAAAATTTTTACCTTTAAAACGCCTTTAATGCACGCACTTTTAATTCACTTGTTATTTCAACTTGCTTTGTGTCAGACAATATGGCGAAACCAGCTGCGACAACGCTTTTATAAGAACGTCTCTCCCCACTCCTTCATAATCTCGAACCCAGCGTTCATTTTCTAGAATTTTCTACCAATTTTGCAAACAAAGCTTTGTTAATAGAGAAACTGTGACTAGGGATAGATTTTTACAAAGAAAATTGTTTGGGATAAAAATTTTGGGAAATCATGTTGTAATAAAGCCAGAATTTAATTTTTAAAATACTCAAAATTGTCCATTTTTAGAACATTTCGTTCCTTTATGTTGGCAACACGATTTTACTCTTGACTCATCGTTATCGATCAGCTGTTTTCTATGTTATTGCGACGATTTATTATTTGCAATTTATATATTAATTATTTATATTTGGAAGGCTTTCCCGATTGATTATTTATTTTTACCGGTCATGAAAAATACGATTCATTATTTTCTAATTAAGTAAATGTTTGCTGTTACTACGTTTTATTTTGTTTATTTAACGATGCATTGTTCTGCAAAATCGCCAAGATTAATTGTTACTAATTTTGACATATTTTAGAATCCGTTGGAAATTAGGGTCATTAAATAGGTTGAAACTTTTTTGAACTATGTTTTATTGTTAAATACATAAGGCACTGTTTGTGTCTATAAAATGGAAATCAATATCACATAAAGAGGCAATAATGGCATTATAAAACACTTCAGATTAGAGAAACTATAAAAAAATATTCAGCCACTTTAAACTACACAACATTCTTTTGTTACAAAAAATAGGATATATTCATATTCTAACAAAAATATTGCATCAGATTTTTATTACCTACCTATCATATTCGCTTTATCACTAACTATAATTAATATAATTTATAACCATTGTAAATTACTTTTGTGTCGTCATAATTCGTTTTTAAATTTAACATACAAGTCAACAAAAGCTAAGCTTTGTTACTACAACATTATATAAAATCTTTCAACTAACGCATACATAGGTTTTAAATGCACTTTTAGCTTTTAACATAATGCATTTAAAACCACCCAAAAACTGTTTTTTCAGTTTTCGTTAATTTCATAATGGTCCTAACAGTGAATATATAATTACTTTTTCAATGCTTTGCATTTAACTCCCAAAATATGTTACTGAAAAATCGTTGTTCAAACGAGGTAAACGCAAAGCCCTATAAATAGTGCGACTAAAACAATACAATTCTTTGTCCCTAAAAGCTGCAACTTTTCATTATTTGCGCGCAGACTAACAAATGTTTGAAATACAAGTTTTGACTCGTCCGAGTCTCAACGTTTGATTCAAAACATTCTTCGTATTCAACGACTAATAACGTATAAATATAGAACTAATACATACAAATAAATAATTTCATAGTTTCATATACTCTACAAAAAGTTGACGTAAGCGTAAAATAGTAATCATTTTGCCTCGTTTCGCGTCTTGATGTTCATTATTGTGAGAGTCCGAATAATTTCAAGGCATTAAAGGACGTAGCAAGGGCCACATCTTCCGGTTTTTTATTCATAAAAGCTGCAATCATTTCGACAATCGCTGGTAGTGAACACGGTTCGTTCCTCTGGAAGGTACAATATCGATGCAAAAATGTTATTGACCTGAAGCAAAACAAAACAATGAGATAAATATTTCAATAGAGGTTAATACATTATTAATTAAAACGCACTATACGTTCTATTCGAATGCGTAGATGCGGAAATTGGCGTTATTTTCAGGAAAAACATGCTTTCTAAAAATTACTGAACTGAACATGAAGTTTACAAGAGTGTAAAAATAGCCATTCTGAGAATCAAGGACGTGACGCATTAAAATCGGGAATGTTAATGTATTTTTAGAATTAAAATGAATAAAGTGCAGACGTACACGAATGTCATGTGATTAGATGATAACTGCGGTAGCATTTTAAATTATCATAAGGAACTTTGGACAGTAACCGGTTTGTACTTCAAACAGACGTTCTAGAATCTACTGATTATTTATAAAAAAAAAGTATAATCAAGTTATACGTAGAAACTTCGATCTAAATACAATACACTTTAATTAGGGGAAATACGGTTTTTGAAAGTGCGCTTATAAAGTTATGACTCATCACCTAAAGTTGCACAAGATTTGATAACTGGTTGTAAAAATTAAAATATTGGTAAGTCAACTTTATAAAAATGCCAGATGATACACAATATTTTTTTATTGCATTTAGTGCAAGGCTAATGTACATTACACTTTAGGTGTTGGATATTTTCCAGACGAAACTTTCTGAGTTTTTATTTTACACATTTAACAACCTTTGAAAAATTGGAGTAATGTTTTTTTTTTGTTAATTTATTTTAAGGTCTCGACAACGACAATGAATAAATTCACCGTTAAGCGTTTACAACTTCTAAAGTCAGAAGAAATTACACAGATATTTCATATCAGTTTTAAAAAAAGTGTTTTATAAATTGCAGAAATTATGTTGTCATTTAATTTTTTGGGAACTGAGTGGCTTCAATCAATTATTTTATTGTATCTATCATGTTTTAGATTTTTTTGAGGTCTAATTCAACGATGCTGTACTGTTGTGATGACCATGTAACATAACAAAGTTGTTACTGTCATAACCTAAAAATTATGTTTATTTTTTTTAATACTTGAATTTTAATACGTATACTCATTATTTTTCATCCATCAGGTGTATTTTAAACATCGAACTTGACGATGTGGAAAGGTTTAATAGGTACTTGAAAATTGAGCATACACTCCAATTCTGATAATATTTGAAAATAAAATTTATCTCAGTAAACGGTGATAAAAAGTCTAAGATATGGTTATCATCATTGATAACTATTGAATTAGTTGTGATTAGCATATAATGGAAAATTTCGGCGATTCAATAAATTAAAAAAATTTCTTCTACATACATATTAAATTTTTGTGAAAATATGATTCTGTAACCAACTGAAGCATCTGGCATTAAATTAACTTCATTAAAATGCATTAAATTTCTCTACTTTAAAATTTCCGTTATCCATTAACTTTGTTATTTATTCAGTTGGAGAAAATTACAATAATAAAAGTTATCACAGAAATGTGAACTATGATTATCAAAAATACAAACCGCTCTGTAAGGCCATCCTTGACATGAAGAGGTAGTTTCGAAGCACGTGTATTCGGGTACATAAATGGGGCATCTGTTTCTACTAAAAGTCTATCTAATGGTATAGATCCATCCACCAACAGCTTCCGCACGCCAATATCAGATTTGTCTTTACACAAGTAACCTAGAGAAGAAAACATAAACAAACAATTATGCTAGATTTTGGTCGAAAACCTGTTAATCCTATGTAAAATCCTCTAGAAAGATATGTTAGCGCCTGCTCAGCTGTGCCTGTAAAGCAGTGTATAAGAACAGGGGGTAATTGACCTTTGTACTGATCTAAAATTTCTAATAAATCTTCATGAGCATCACGTTCATGAACAAACAATGGTTTATTAATTTCTATAGCTAGTTCGATCTACAAGAAAAACATCAATTAAGAAGCTAAACATGATTCTAGCATACGTACATGTTTTTGAAAAACCTGTCTTTGCTCGCTCGGTTCAGAAAAGTTTCGATTATAATCTAAGCCACATTCGCCAACCGCAACGCATTCGGGATTCGATGCAAGTATTTTTAATTCGTTCCAAGATTCGTCGGTGTATGATTTGGCATCATGGGGGTGTATTCCTATTGTAGCAATTTGGATACAAAACTAATTCGTAAAGACAGTTAATTACTTACCTGCAGTCGAATACAAAGTGCCTGGATATATTCTAGTCAATCTTAGGGCTTCTTTGCTACACTTCACCGAAGTACCTGTCACCATTATTTTTTGGACACCTACGTGGGGCAAGGAGTAATCAAAGGATGCATACATTACAGAAATGTGATACCTGAGTCGCGTGCCCTTTGTATGACTGATTCCAGGTCCCTGCTGTATTTTTTATTGGTTAAATTTGCACCAACATCAACAAGAATATAATTTTCGTAGCACTGTTCCATATTTTTGTTATTTGTCGAATTTTGATTATCTTCGTTAGTTGCCATGTTCACGGAACCTCTCGTTAATTCACAAATTGATAATAAAATCGTTCAAAATGACTGCAGAAACAAATATAACCCCATTAGTCATGTGTCATTGTGACAGAAATAAAAGTAAACAGCTGTTATAAATTTGATTAATAAAATGACATAAGGAACAGTTGGTAATTAACGCCACTACTACCAACTTCAATTTAATTCTTGGCGGGAATAAGACCACGTAGAAAAGTCAACACTATCGTAAACATGATTTCATTGATTCAATAAACTTACATTTAAACATACAAACAAGTTTGTATTAAACTACAAACAATAATTAACATAAACTACAATATTTATATTTTTACACAAACAGTTTCTGAATCCTTCGTCAAAATGATTGTTATAAACTTAAAAAAAATAAACTTAACTTTAAACGATTTTGACATTTACAAAGACTGAAGATTCCACTTGTTCATTTACTAAGTATTACAAACTACTAAATTGTACTGACAAAAATATGCGGACGGTTTCACCGCATTAAGAAGAGTCAAAGTATTGAAATCTCGTTTCTTCTTTTGCACGTCTAACTGAAAAAAAAGCGTTATTGTGCGTTTTTATAAAATGAAATCTTTACTACCATCTTCACAATATCTGCTAATGGTATGATCCAACTTTCAGCTTCTTTGGCCTCCTTGGTTGCACAGATCCCTCCATGTCTGAAGTGTCTGATTCTGTTTCATTGTAATTCGAATCTTTTCCGTCTGAAGATTCAACTCCGAAGGACCCTGTAGTTTTGGCTTTCTCTAAGGTACGAACTGTAAGCAGAATTTTAAAGGCGAATTACTAAAACTGGGTTCGAGTCATTACTCTGAGCTTCTAGAAGGTTGTTTTGTCTTTTGAGATCTTCGATATCCTGTTGGTGGGAATGGTTCTTTTTTCTCATGAATACAATATACTCCGCGGCCTTTTTTAAGATTTGCGCTCTACTCGCCTAAAATATAGTCTACAATTGCCGGGATATCTGCGTACGGGCTTTGGGAGTGCCGTAGGGGTGAAAAATTGGACAGACTTACTACTTTTTCCCCGTTGAGAGCGGGAACAGAGTCTCGTAGGCTGCTAAAACTGTCTTTTATGTGGTCTCGACGTTTTCTTTCCAGCGCGTTGTGATGTGCCCGTTTTTCGGCCTAAGGAATTAAGAACATCATCATTATTATTATTATTATTATTAAAAATAACAAATAGTGTTGGGCACACTGATGAGTGATGACATTTCAATTTCAGGGCAAACTTGGTAAGTGTAAAAACCTGGATATCTACAATTTGTAACATAAAATTCTATAGTAAGTTTTTCTTACTAATGGCTCTATAATTAACGTTTTATTTCAAACAGTTTTTGTCAAAATTTATTAAACTTAGCCTGAGATGACAGCGTAGCTGTTGAAACTGTCGACAGTTTGTTGAAATTTTCAGTGTCACGTGTTTGTGTTAGTGCATCGAGCGGTTGTTTTAAAGATTAAAAAATCTACAGGTATCATGCTTCAAAAGTGTACTTTCCATATCAACAAAATAGGTTTGGATCACAAGTGGTCGAGTGAAATCTATGAGTCACTCACTGTCATTGGTACGTTGTTCAACATGATTTCAAAAGTAAACAGGATACTTGAAAAATGGCGATAACACTTTCTAGAAGTCATTTGTGGTGATTATATCAAAGATAAGTAATAGTTAATTGTTTCGGAAATGATGCTAACAACTATTAGATTTAGAGTGTAGAATATAAAAACAATAACATGGATGTTACTTCCGATATGGTACTTTTTAAAAGTTACAGTTTCAAATGGAGATACGTCACAATTATTATTACTATAATTTCGTCGCAATTAAAGAATGTTACGTTACTTTATTTTAACTTTGTACATTTGTGTGATCTGTGGTAAAGCAATCATTTTATTTTAAATATTCAAAAAACCACAATATAAATAACAACTCTGCAACACTACATACAATCCTTATGAATGTCACTGAAGCAACAAAAGGTAATAAATAATTGACTGATGTATAGCTGCAATAAAAATCAAAATTTTTCTAGTATACATATTTTACGTATTTTTTTTTGAAAATTAACAAAAACGTCTGGTCAAATTATACTAGAGAGATGTTTGGAACAGAAATATACAGGTTTTCCAGGAAAAATTCCACGGCTTTGTCTTGAGAACGGGTCAAGATATTGAAATTTTCTAAACGCCATTATTTTTCACTTAAAGGGGAAGCTAAAAACAATGGCGTTTACGGAACTTTAATATCTCCATACTTTCTCAATATTTATGTACATATTGGTGGAGTTTTTACTGGAACACCTACCTATTACCATTTGACACACCTTTCGACTCACTTTTTTAATGCAAAACAGTTTCATTTTTAATTTTCTTGAGGCACTCCGATTAATTAATTCCAAAAAATAAAAATATGTTATCAACGAACACAAAACATTAACTTCCAGAATATTCTTTAACAAAAATGTGCTTGATAATTTTGATATTAGGTCGTCAACTCTGTGAAGGGAATCAGAAATACATTCGTCGATGCTATGTTACGGATAAACGTTGGTGTCGTACTGAAATTTTAATGAGCTACGTTATGTACAGTCTACGACAAATGACATGTCAAAGTTCATTCTACCCATTCTATTTTTCCCATATCCCGTATCGTTAAAAATGTTGCTACATTACTAAACTATCGGTAAACGAGCATGTTACACTATACATTTTTAGTAAGATTTACTTAAGAAGCTTTTGAGATGGCGTCATCAATGTTTGGAGAATATGGTAAACAAATTTCCGTCGTCATGATAATTTTAAAATTTCAAGTGAAACAATACGCTAGTTTGGAAGATTATTTAGTCAAAAAATCCCTATCCTTTGGCAGACAGACAGATGGAATTATGAAAATTGCTTTGTAGTCAATGGGATATGAAATGTCCAGAAAAAATAATGATCAAAAATTTTTCACAACAGAAACTTATACAGAGTTATTCAGCTAAGATTTATGTTTTTAAAATAGGCAACCCAAAATACCGATTCCACCTGAACCTGAATTACAAAAAATGTTTCAAAATTGAATTCTATCGAAGTTTGTAATACTAAAAATAACAGTATTGTATTCACAAAATTTTCTGGGAAAATGGAATGAGCCGTTCCTGATTTAATCAATAAAATAAATTGACTCATTAATTAATTTTTTTGAGCCACTTGTTTAAGCATCTCTAAAAAATGCGAATGCAACTATAAATCACAAGTGAAAACTCATCATATTTTGTACATTTTGGGTTTTCGCACATATTTGCACATTCGGCAAAATTTTGAGATGACGTCATCAATTTTTTGAGGGAACTAAACAGATATATTCTGACTAACAATTTACCATGCTTATAATAGGTTTAAAACGATTCGGCAAAATTTTGAGATGACGTCATCAATTTTTTTGGGGTTGATAAACATTTTGGTTAAAAAATTAACAACTTCAAAACGTCTGCAAGATTTCAAAGTACTCAGTTTTGCAATTCTTGATTTAACCAATTAAATAAATTGACTCAGTCATTATTTTTTTGAGACACCTTGTATAAGTAATTCTAAAAAATATTAATGCAGTGATAAATCACATCATAATTTGCACATATAAGATAGGATTTATTCAGCAAAATTTTGGGGTGACGTCATCAATTTTTAGGGGGGATGAGCACATACATTTTGATCAAAACTTTACCATGCTTATGATAACTTTAAAACATCTCCAAGATTTCAAAGCATTCGGTTTTGTAGTTCCTGATTAAATTAATAAAATAAATTCACGCAATCATTAATTTTTTTAACTCACCCTGTATATGCAAATCCAAAAAATATGAATGGAATGACAATCACTTATCATATTTTGTAAATTTTAGATAGGATTTATTCGGCAAACTTTTGAGCTGACGTTATGAACTTTTTGGAGCGGATCAGTAAATATATTTTGAATAAAAATTTATCATGCCTATAATTACCTTAAAACATCTGCAAGATTTCAAAGCATTCGGTTTTGCAGATTCAAAATTAAATTGCAAAATGTTGTTTTATAATTTTGATTTTTTTTCCAAAAATCTCTCAACACAGAGTCATAAACTATGTATATGTGTAGGACTATGTTATTTTATCTACATAATTTAAAACCCATTTACTATCTATAATTCTGAAGTGACGTCATCACATTATTGGTGGGGATGGTTACACAAATTTTGGTTAGCGTTTTACCATCTATAGTTTTGGAAATTTCATTCCACCTTATAAAATTTTATTGGCAATAACGAGACGGACAGTAGTACAATAGCAAGAGATATTTATAACGAAAAGTTGTCGCGTGCCGGTAATCCCCCGATGTTAGAAAGCAGAATAATCCAGGTCCGCACAGGAACCATCGTTGCTCACGAACGAAAATGACCATAATTTTATGAGTACAACTACCTGCTAAATGTTCTTGTACAAATTCGGGTGAACTGGTATGAGCCGTAAATATTTCTTACCATTGTACTACTGTCCGTCTCGTTATTGTCAATAAAATTTTATAGGGTAGAATGAAATTTCCAAAACTATGCATTATATTCCTAATATAAATACAAAATTTGACATCAATCGGCCTAGTAGTTTCGGAGATTATCTGTTTAATAAAAATCCGTGACGGCAGACAGACAGATAGACAGACGGACAGACAGACAGACGGAAACGGGAGATCTCTTTCTTCGTACTCTAGGGGTCATGAAAGATCAAGAAAACGTAAAAGTACAGAATAGGCAGACGAACTCGATTACAATACTTCCCGAGCGTAAAATTAACAACAATTGGTCCCATATAGTTTCGGAGATTATCCGTCTAATAAATAACAACACAGATGATAGACATACGGAAAAGGTGGACCTATTTTTCATACTCTAGGAGTCATGAAACGGCAGAAAACATGAAAATATGTACTTTAATTTACTTACTTTTCTCACCTCTGAAGGGTAACGTATGCATTTTTTAATAATACTTTTATTTTTTTTAATATCCTGCGTACGCACATTACCGACCTGATTTAACTGTTAATTTTTTCAACGACGTCATCAATTTCCTGGACGCAATGAACAGACAAATTCTACTAAAAGTTCCATAATCGTTTAATTGAAGTCAGTATTTCTAAAAAAAATTGAAAAAGTTTGCAGCAGTGAACACTAGGATTGGTAAGAGAATTACTAATTGAACAGATACAAACTACAACAGATTACATTAATTTATTAATTTGTGCTTTTTGACATTTTAACAATTCCTTCAGGTCAATTTAAAAATATTTGAGTCTTAAAGACTAAAAGAAAATTAACGTTTCAACTGTGACACTTGGTGTTAACTTATACCTATCTGTCCCCATAAAAAAAATTAGAAGCTTTCCAACATTAGTTACTTATTTTCGTAGCTGTAGCTACGGTATTACAATTTTTTAACAAAGGAAATATGCAATACGAAACATAAATAGGTGTAAAACCTTTTATATCCTTTCATGTTTTTATTTAAGTAGAAGAGAAACCATAAATTATCAAAGCATTTTTTGCGGAAATATAAAAATTCACTATATTTCTTAAAAGTTTACTTGGATTGATGATTAACTTTTGGGTGAATTTTTGTGGTACAAAAATAAACCCTAATAGACCATATTTATGGATAGTTGACATGACCTGTATTTTTGTAATCCTCAACCTGTAGACTGAAAAAAGAAAACCATACTGTTCCTCTATGTTTTTGATGACGTCATATTGCCAACTAACAACCCAAAAAGAACTACGTAACTACAACCTAACAACAGTAATAAGGTAAAGTGAGTCCGTCGTTACTAATTTGTTCGAAAATCGATTTTTCATTCACGTAATTCCATCTATCTAACGCGTTTCTTCAGACATAATGATATTTGTACCACATAGAACCACTTTCGAACAATATAATATGTCTTAAGTTCATTGTTGGTACCAATTATGACTAATTTAAACAACAAAATTGGATTTTTCATAACATTGTACCTACAGTAAAAAATGACTTGAACGCTGTTTTACCTTGTCGATGCCTTTTTCGTTTAGAACTTTTATTGTTGTTATTCATTTTACAGTGGCTAACACTGGCAGCTTATTTTTAACTGAACACGCTTAATAACACCAAAACACAAACACTTCACTTCCAAGCAACCCAAATCTGATTCTGATTAGAAAGTGCAAAATTTGTCCCTGAAACAATTTACAAAATCGCAAATTAATTTTACCTGTGAATAATACTGGCTTCCAGAAGATTGTCTCCCGGGGGTAGGTTGGCGGGAATCCGAGTCGTCACCTTCCTGAAAACGGGGGGTACATAATGAATCAATGTTAATATTGATCCATTTGATGTTTTGTATATAAACACCACAATACTCACATCGCTTTCCACGTCAATATCTCGATCGTCATCGCTCATTGTACTTGTTACACGATTTCAAGACGAAAAGAGCTTTATTTCAGGTGTAAAATGCGATCATCTACCTGCGCTTTTCCCAAAATGTCACAACACAAGCAAAACTAGACATGAATCGCACGATGTGCGTGACCTGTCATACTTCAGCACCTAGAGTCACTACAAAGTACGAACACGTTGAAGTCTCTTTGTTGTTAGTTTTTTTTATATTTGTTTGTCGTCACTTTTATGATAAAAGAACAATTATTTGTATACAATATTCAAGTTTTTGTAATTGTTTGTAACAAAATAGTAGAATTTTTGGAAATATCGGGGTTATTACTCACTTGTGATTCCGTAGGGACTCTATTTCGTAAAAATAAATATCAATTACCGACTGAGGTGTTGCAACTTGTTGGTTACACGTGTTCTCATTTCAACGCACGTGATTTTAGTAGTTTTAGCCTAGACGCAAACCAAATTAGGAGTGGAATTGGCCGCCTACGCTGCGAATGCCAAACGGACTTAGTCATTCGAAATTGCGCGAAAAAGAAATGATTTTAATTCTCACTAACGTTTAATTTTTATTTGTGGAAAAAAAGCAATAAAGAAAAATAATAAATTTATTTATAACCGAAACCAAATACAAGTAAATTCATGTTACAATTTGAAATAAAAATAAACTTGAGCAGTTAGCTAAAAAAAGGAGAAAATTGTTCATATATTAGCATGAGATGTTTTCCACAGTCTAAAAATGAATTCATAATTATAAAATGTGACTCTGTAATATTAACATTCAAATCAGCGCGTCTTACTTACTACTAACAATAAAATGCAATTGTATGTGTACTGAAAAGATTTTGACACCACAATATCAAATACGAAATCACAAGACAAACAATAAAACAAACATTGGGTTAATAAAAGGCACTTGGGTGGTGAATTATATTGCAATGTCAGTACTTATGTATTACACTATTAAAATGTTTAATTAACACAAATGTTTATCAGTTACTGCTTGACTGAAACATGTTATAGAATTTTTGCAAACTTTACATAACAGTGTATAATAAAAATGTACGTAGTAGATAAAATTGTATTATTTTAGAAGCGTTATTTACAAATATAAATTACAATAATACCAACATTGCCAAGATATCACATAATCAGCAAAGTTACATACTAAATGATTTTTCCATAAGAAACCTATGGCAAGACAAATGAACAACAATCCCAACCATCTGACAATGACATTAATATGTAACAATGCTTTCAAGGTGCTGTCATAACAGACTAGAGAGTGTTATCTATCACGCCTGTTTTTTCCCATTTGCTGTGATATTTGTCGCATTAAGGACAGTTCTTTCAGCTACTTCGACAGCCATTTGCTGCATACCGTTCTCGACGTAAGTTTGTACGACGGGCTTCATAGACTGCAAAACAACAAAAATTGGTAACTATAAAATCAATTAACACCGATTAGTCAATGTCATGCAAGTAGGTAAGAATTTTTGGTAAGTACATACGTTTCCTTTCTTTTCTCTTTCTAAAATAGGCATGCTATAAAAAGAAGATACATTTAGTAACAGCAGGAACAAAACTTTACTGAAAAACCAATATTGACAAAACGTGAAATTGCATTTCTATAGGGGATACCTGAAATTTTGAAGAAACTAAGCTTGGCAAGAGTTAAAAGTTAGCAGAACCATACAACGCAATTCAAAAATTTATGAGTGTCCCACTAAAACGTGTTATAGTAAACGAAATGGTCTTTCTAGTAATAAACAGTAAGTTTATTATTTAAGGTGGTGACGTTAAAGAAATACAAAACGTCGTGTTTGATGATACCAAAATCGATAAAACCGGCAGCCAAAGTGGTTAGTATTAAAAGAAAAATAAATAGACTTACGTTCTCCCATATTAAATTGGCCATTTCGTCGATATGCAAGCCAACTTCTCGAAATTCGCCACTATACCTGCAACGACAGTAGTAAAAAGTGATCACTCGGAAAAAAACTGTATGTACCTTATGTATGCCCACATTGCTAAAGTAAGGAATGAAATTGCCATTACTGTGTTAAACATGTTAGCGATTGTATATGCCCCAAACAACCCAAACACCCCAGATGAAATATAACAAACAACAGCTAAAGCGAAAAATACAGCGGGAGTCCTGGCTGCCTTAAAGATGTTTTTACTTTCATTATGCGCCTTAAACTGGTTAAACGACTCTTCCAAATCCTGAAACGTGAATCAAATTAAAAATGCCTTAGTAGGTTGACCCGTTACTACTTTATCGAGTTGTTCTTTGTATTTTTCACTAAATTCGTCACCTCCCATTTTCCGTTTACTTTGGAATTGATGTAATGCCTTATCTTTGTGTCTACGGTGTTCCGATTCTATTGCAGCTGTATTAAGATATGGTTTGTTTCCGCCACAAACCTCTTCCATTAGTTGCGAGTAGGTCTCTTTTGCATCAGCAACAGCCGATAAATTGTTTGCTTCTGCCGTCGCCTTAAAAGCAAACGTCACCTACGGATTCGCCGGAAATGACAAAACTTACGACAAGCATTGATTTTGGTTCAGGCAGTTCGTTTCCTTTATATATTGCCATGTATGATTTGAAGTATTGAACTAAATCCCTAACTTTAACTTTCTGACCGTTTATCCTTTTCAGGACCAAGTTTTCAGGTGCCAATAACATGGGTACTAGTATTTTTAAATTTTCTTTAAACTCTGAATCGATTTCTACAAAGAAGTTGTTATTAAGAAAACAGTAATTTGATGGGTGATTCAATCTTACCTTCTAATCTACCGTCAAATGTGGGGCTCGTTGCTACTTTTATACCAGGATGGGGCATCAAAAAGCAAGCAATTTCACTAAATAACGACTTTATATGCTTCCTGAGAGATTCTAGTTCTGGGTGTGAATGCTCATTTATTTTCAAACGTTTTTTAAGTATTTGTTGACCACCCACAGCCCCGTATGGTGCTTCATACGGAAACCGCCAGTCCCGAACCAAAAATTGAAGTCTTTGAAATGGTGTTTTCCCTGAGTCTGCTAAAGCTAATCGTCCATACTCTGTAAACAACTGTACACAAAAAAAATTATATTTGATAATCAAAAAGTATGGACACAATGTTATATTTTGTATTTAAAATAGTAGAATAAACCAAGCTGAAGAAATAATAATGTTGGCTTAAATGGCCCAACCTCAGTGGATGGTACCTGTTTTACCGACATATTCACAGCATGGCTAGTAGTTTCATGCATTACTATGTATTATTAACATTTTCGGGAATCGTTCCTATAACTTCAATACAACCAGTGACTATGTATTCTATACTCACTGATACAACGTTCTAATGTGTGCCGAGAGGGCGCTCTACAAAAATTAGGGTGGATTAAATTGAACCCAAAAATGTTGTGGGAGTATTGTAGAAGTCAGTGTATGGGTCACTTTATGACAGATTTATCGCTATAAATGAAGTTATTAACACAGGTTGAGGCCTTGGACTTCCATTTTCTCACAGCACTTCTTGACTTCCATATCTACATATTTACACGCGTGCAGCGTATGTACAAACACAATAGAGTTACTTCCCGATTTAGTCTTGTAATTGTTCACTAAACAGATGTTATTTCTAAATATTGAACGTAGTTATTACAATGTAGTTTCTTTGTGGAAATAACATCACATTTTTTTTTTATCTTTTATGGAATAAAATCTGCTTAGTAGCAATTTTTTCCCGTTGTTTCTTTCAAAGACTTAATTAAAAAATTGATCGAAGATTACTTCGACAGAACGTCCCTCGCCCATAAAGTACAGCTGTCAAATTCAGCTCTTTCGAAAAATTAAAAGATTTGATTTTGCGAATTTTATTGTTTTTTTATGGTAAAAGTTACAAAGTAAGATGGTAAAATAGGGCGACTAGTTCTTAATTTGATCAATAGAAAATATGAATGCAATGATGAATCACAAGTAAAAACTCATCAATTTTACACATTTTGGTTAAAATTTATTCCGCAAAATTTTGAGATGACGCCATAAATTTTGGGGGGTAAACCGATTTACTTTGATTAACAATTTACCATGCTTACAATTACTTTAAAACGTCTGCAAGATTTCAATTCAAAAATTTTGCAATTCCTGATTTACTTATTCAATAAAATAAATTGACTGGTTTATTAATTCTTTTGAGTCACCCTGTATAATAAGCAAATCTAAAAAATTTGAATGCAATGATAAATTACAAGCATAGACTGATCCTATTTTGCACATTTTCGAAAGAATTTATTCCGAAAAATTTTGAGATGACGTAATCAATTTTTTAGGGTTGATAAATAGATACATTTTGATTAAAAAGTTACCACGCTCACAATAACTTCAAAACGTTTGCAAGATTTCAAAGTATTCAGTTTTGCAACTCTTGATTTAAACAGTCAAATAAATTGACTGAGTCATTATTTTTTTAAAGACACCTTGTATAAGGAAATCAAAAAATATTAATGCAGTGATAAATCGCAAATATAGACTCATCATACTTTGCACATTTATGATAGGATTTGTTCAACAAAATTTTAAGGTGACGTCATCAATTTTTTGGAAGGGATAAGTAAATATATTTTGATTAAAAATTTATCATGCCTATCATAACCTTAAAACATCTGCACGATTTCAAAGCATTCGGTTTTGCAGATCCAAAATTAAATTGCAAAAGGTTGTTTTATCATTTTGATTTTTTCCCAAAAATCTGGACATTTCTGGTAAAAAATCAACACGGAGTCATAAACTACATGTGTAGGACTACGTTATTTCATACAATTTAAAACCCATTTACTATCTACAATTTTGAAGCGACGTCATCACATTATTGGTGGGGATGATTAGACAAATTTTGGTTAGTGTTTTACCATCTATATGATATTCCTAATCAACAATCGGCCTAGTACTTTCGGAGATTATCTGTCTAATAAAAATCCCTGATGGCAGACAGACAGATAGACTGACTGACGGAAAAGGGAGAGCTATTTCGTCGTACTCTAGGGGTCATGAAAGGTCGAGAAATAGTAAAAGTAGAGAGTCGGCCGACGGACTCGATCACAATACTTCCTTCGCTTACCTCGGGAAGTAAAAATAAAATATTATGTAAGTGTTCTTTTATCCTGTTAAATGATAAAATTTAGAGAATCTTTGTAGGAAAATAATGACAAAAGCTAAAAACAGCCACCTATAACAAATTCAAGGTTTTACTTGCGACTGAGCCAACGATATGACGTCATCAAACATTTTTAATAGTGCATTGTAGTTGGCGTTTTAATTAATTGTTCACAAGATTAAAACAAAATTGTTCGTTCGTTTAAAACAAATTTTAACACCAAATAACCAAAAACGATTGGTCTCTACACTGTTAAAAATAGGGATAATTACTAAAGTTTCCACGCTAATTATGTGTAAATATTTTGACACAATATACCTACACTTCACAGACTAATTTAAACAGCAAATTGTTAAATCGTGTCTTGACAGCTTATTTAATCTTTGAAATCCCGCAAGACACTAAAAAGCACAAAACCTTGTAGCATCTGGGTCTAATTTTTTGCTGGCCACAATGCAAGGTGATTAAAAAAGATCATACATCAAGTTGGCTTTGGAATTTGGCGAATTTTGCCGCCTCGTTGTGATGATTGATGACTAATCGTCGCCTGTCACAAACGTCAATCATAACCTACTTTGTTAAGTGTGAGAATGTGCTTGCAGCAAAATGGGGGCACTTTGAAAATTTCTTTACGATGCGTGATTGAATACAACTAAAGCATGTGATACCCACACATTATAATTTGTTATTTTTAGATTTTAATAAATCGTTTTATGAAATAAGGAGGCGGCAAACTCTTATTAAAAATGCAGCAAAATTTTCCAAAAACAATTAGATAGACAAGATAGAACTAGATGGAACAATTGCATAAAGTTCAGATAACGCACGTAATTATCTTTTTTTTTTTCAATATCAACCTGATTTGTATCTAGACTTGAGTATCATTTTAATATATTCTAAATAGATCAGAGGTGGTGGGAACAACATAAGTAGGCAAATTTTCCCCTTTTTTAAAATGAACGTTTTCACATAACTTTTGTGTTACAAGTTACCTGTAAATGTTGCAGATCATCTTCTTGGATGTTACTTGACAGATTGTATATTTGAACGGAGCTTATCATTGTACTTAGAGCGAATATTGTGGCACATTCACGGACAGTACTTTTACTATCCCAAGTCCCTTGCGTATCTAACAGAACTATTGCAACCTAAAAATTCACATTCTTTACTACAACATTGTCAAACCCACTACACTTTATACCTTTTCTCCTGTGAGCAATTCCGTTAAAAAAACGTCAGACCACATGAGAATCCCAGTGGTGTCCCTTTCTGAGCCACCTCTCCACGAGAAACCTTCAAGTGGGGCGTCTTCAGCGCCCAACCACTCGGACGTGTTTTGCTTAAGTACATACTAGAAATGAGGCTATTCATGGTCGTGACTGTGTCAAATGCAAAACGTGTGTTTACCTTTGAGTTCAAGTACCTCAGGAAGAAGTCGAGGAGGAAGGATTTACCGTGTCGAAACGCTCCAGCTACAGAAATGACAACGACAAACCTGTCCTTGATCTCATCTCTTAAAAGCACTTTCTTCAAGGCTTCTTCATCCAAGGTGAAGGTGTGATCGTTGTTGGCGAGGACGATGGGGACAGCATGTGGCTTCATGTTCACCGAATCAAGATCAATAACATCTACAACAGAAATTTTCACATTGACACTGTTCGACAGACCTACACAAAGGGAGAAAATAAAAAGGGCAAAGGTTTATTAATATCAATTGTTTCATTACAAAAATGACGTCAGGTATCTCGGTTTTTGCTCGCTTTATTTTAATGTGATTTTGACAGTTTGGAGTATGCCCTTGAAACCAGTCACTTGAAATTGGGATTTCGGTTCACAGTATCATTTTAGATAAAAAATCTTTCCACAAAGTAACGACAATTTGAAATTTTCAATTAAAATGTACAGGTTTTTGCAATTTCATTGTGTCGCAGATGGAGGTACAGTGTGTTGTAAAAACCATACACTTTGGATGATATGTCCCGGGATAAATCCGGAAGCTTCTTGGTACTTACAAGTTTAGTTTTATCTGTGGGATTAGTGAAATTAATGCTTTAAATACCTTCTACTGAAGATTCTCGTTTCTGTACGTGTTTACGTTGCCTTGTGTCAGACATGTTGAACATTTAGTGTCATCTTTTTCGTTCGTATGTTGTTCCTTGTCGGTACGAAATGGCGCGCTTTTTAAATATAGCCGTGCCGCTTTAATAAATTATAATTAAGTGGAAAGTTAACGCTGATAATGCGGTTATTAATTCATAAAACATTTAATGACTTTCTTTTTTAGATAATGGTTTACAAATTTGCATTTATTATCGTAATCAATTTATAATAAAATAACATGGAAACTGCAACACATGGGAGCGTTTTATGTAAATTGGTTTTTAAAAAACATCGTTGACGACGAGATTTTAAAATGTTACACGATTTTATTTTTTCCTTGTAATCCGCTTGTAAGATGGGCACGAGTGTCTGATAGACGACATTCAATTTCCTGTGTTCACATCATAATTTCCTTTTCAGGTACAAGTGGTAAACAAACACGAAAAATGTAAAATTTGAATTTACATGGGTTATTTTTGGCTGCTGATAATGCATTTAGGTCGGTCTCTTATGCAAAAGTTCACAGCTCAGCATACTGAGACTATCGTATTATCGCGCTATTTTTTCTCACTTTTAAAGCGCATAGAAAGTGTTACTAAACAGATAAGAAAAAATAAAATAAGAAAGAATTTATGATTATGCTTTAAATAATGAGGTCATTAGAATTCTTACTGAATAAAAAAATGTTCTATTTACATATGTTGGGTTTTTTCTCTGCCATGACACGTTAATCGATAAATTTATTAAATTATGCATTTTAATGTTATTGATCTTGATAGTGTTTTATTTTTTATTTTTTTTTTATGAAACATAGATTTTCTTTAAGAAAAGACGTTTCTTTATTTTCTACGACAATAACGTAATAATTTAAAACTCTATACTTCGATTTTAAATTGAAATTGTGCGTTTCATTTTTTGCTTTATCCTTTTCACACAATTAATTACGGATAAAAATTAAAAGTTTTATAAGGTGAGTAAACAGCTAACTAAAATGTCCAAGTAAATGTGGTAACTATTGATTAAATTGAAAACTCTTTTTTATGCGAAAGTAGACAAAAGTAAACACTCCTTTGATAACCCTTTCGGAGGAATATTACTTAGTTACTTTTTATTATCAGCTAATGTGTAACGATTTATTTTTTCTGATAAATATTTAAACTTTTTGTGCCAAAACGAATGTGTCAAATCTGATAAATATTTAAGCCTTTTGTTCAAAAATTTTAGGAATTAGGTGGTACAATTATTTCGTTCGCTCTGATGGGCGTAACCACGGAAACGACGGGTCCCTATTCAGGACTCTGAAGAGCCCGATTTTATGGGATGACTTTTTGTAAATATCGAATGAACAGCACCGTGTTTTCATGAAGCCGCCAGGACATCATTTTTTAATCCTGAAATCTTGAATTACTTTTTTAGTGGCGTTTTGTCTTATCATTGAGAGGCAGCCAAACACTCAAATTTTGGTTACTGTGCAGGGTGGTAGTTTGAAAATACCAGCAGCAGAATGAATTTTCCTAAAGACGGTATCTTCTATAAAATTTATAGAGTAGTATTCATCAACTAAAAGAAGTTCAATATTTAATAAAATCTATAAAATATATCCTTTTGATTCCGTTTCAGATATACTCGTATAGTTGCAATTAATAGAATTAAAATAACTAAACAGAGGTTGTAGGTAATCAAAAGCACCTAAAATACAAACACCATAGGTACGTTATAAATTTCGTTTAATGGCAAATAATTCAAATAACATTTTATGATTATTTATTGAAAGTAATAGGTTTTTGGATACCCTAATATGTAAAATAATTTAGTTTTCGTTACCAGCAGGTGATATATTAGCTGTATATAATATATAGCATTAAAATTCCCCATTTAACAAAGAATGTATAGTTTAAATAATTTTATAACGAGTTTATTTTTTTGACAAAATATAAACAATTTTTTTATAAATCTCTTCAACTATGCTATTTGTATAAACTCCATTTTAAATTTTATCTCCATACAGCATTATTCACTAGTGTGTTAAAATATCACCTTGCATACACTTACCATTTGCTTTATACATTTAAACTAACAGTATACCTAAAGGTAAAATTTTCTATTCAGATATATATTAATAAGACGATCATTTCCTGAAGTCTGACAAAAATTTGCAATTCTTTTCTTAAAACATCAATGAAAAAAAATGTTTAACTTTCCAAGCGTATTTGTTTTTCAGCCAAAAATATTTTAAAAATTTACCTGCTGGTTGATATCCGTGTCGTTTTTGTAGTGTTTCGGAACTTTAGACACCACAAACATGTTCTATCAAACGCATTAAATTTTACACTGTGCAGACTGCAATAAAATACAAATGCATTTCAAAAGCCATGGCCAGATTTATATATATTTTATGAAGTGATTACTTATCTTCAGTAGTAAGATACAATACTACGTTTGATTAATTCAGGTTTAAGCCATACTCGTGAATAATAATAGCATTATTTTGTCCAGATGACAAATTTTTGCTTACCTTATTTTATATATAAATGGGGGCTAGACATTTAAAAACATACTATCATTTTTACTAGTTTTTATTATCTGTGTCCATTAAAGCGTGCATAAGTTAATTTATTCTGATACATTTTTTTGTCATTATTAATGCATGCGCATACATTAATTAATTCACTTAAAATGGTTAAACTTACATTACTGACACTGCAACAATTAACAACTACAATTTTACTCTTAATAACAGCAATTTTTAATGAAACAAGTAGTGTTCATTTTATCAAATACTTACATTTTCGACAATAATGTGTTGAAATATGATATTTTGGCTTATTTGTGAAGGTAGAATTATTTTATTGCAGAGTATTATTAATTCACGGCAAACGCAGTTTGATGCAAAACATCTATTTTTGACTACTTTTAAATTTATTTTTATACGGTTTATGTATTAACTGCAGGATGTGTTCAAATATAATCCGCGAATTTTCACGGGAAAATGTGGTTTTTATATATATATTTTGTATACTCGTTTTATTTTCAATGAGAGCAAACAGCAACTTTTGTAATAAAAAAAAATAGTTGCATTTTGTATTAAATTTGTATTTACGCGTGATTAATTTTTCAGTGAAGAGAAATTTACTGGAATAAAAAGAAATAGTTTTAAGATAATACAGATTTATCATCATTAAAGTTGCTAGCAGTATCTTTTGTTCTAATTTGGCCACTAAAAATAAAACGCTATATGAATAATAATAGATTTGTTCAACTAGAATCTGAAAACGCTGGGTATTTATGTTTATCTAAAATAAACATAATCAATGAAACTTGAAAATAATAAATATATAAAATAATGGTCTATAAAAGAAATACTCGTTAAAAAATACTAATAAATGTACGGTAAAGTCATTTAATGCTTGTTAAAATCGATAATTGCTTTAGAAAAATAACAATTAAAATCTAATAAATATCGCTGCAATTTATTTGTATTTAAAATAAATTAACCAAGATTAGTCTAACATATTTTGCGCTCAGATTTAGAAAATTAATAAAAAGTACACCTTTTAAGACATGATGATATGCTCATTTGCATTAGCATCAAATATCAGAAAATACTAATCTGACATTAACAAATGTTAACGCTAATGTCTGTCAATATTTACTTCAGAATGAAGAAAAAATAAAGCCATGAAAACTGAAAATGTTGGCCATAAGCTGCACCTACGTTGTGTTCGTTTAATAGTGAAATGCATGAAGGGATGCCGGACTTTGTCTCAAAGGCAGAAAAATACTAAAAGGAATAATAAGGAGTAAAGATTTAAATCGTGATTTCAGATTGTATTAAGAACAATTTTTTCTACACTATCCAAAAGGACTGTCTGCACGCAAAAGCTCGACAACTTTTCGAACTGATAGATGTTCTTATTATTCTAATAACAATGAAGTGGAAAGTCTCCTTTGGAAAGCGTTCTGCTGAAGCCATTCAGTGTTGTGGCGATATTAAATTAGGCAATGAAATTCTTAGCGCCAGTTTCAATAAAGACTTAACTATTTCAGTTTCTGAGCTGAAAGTTTTGTCTGAATTTCACACAATTTTTAAACTTTAATCACTTCGAGTCCAATATATTTCTTTTATTCGTTTTTGAGGACATTCGTTAGGTGCGAGTTTTATTCTAAAGAACATAAAATTGATTTTACGAAATATATATATATAATACTAGGGACAGTTTACGAAAAACCGAGTGGTCCATAAGAGGATGGAACCCGCGACTATCACTTTATTAGCATAGCACTGTAACCAAGTGCTTATACTTATGGCCAATGCTTTGGGTTCCTCCTAACCTCCTATGTTAGTGTAAATGGTTGTTATACAGTCTGGATCTTTTTTTGGCGAAAATCTGGATGCCTGGGACAAAAAATTAGGGCCGATTCATAAACCCCATGTACAGAAGTATGTTCTTTTCTAGTAAAAACAATACAGAAGGTACTAGTCACAGTGTAATAGAAAAAAGAAGGTTTTACCTTCTTAAAAACAGTTGGGGGTCCCGAGAAGATTTAGTATCCTTAAAGAAAGACACTTGGGGCCCCCGAGAAGGTTCCGTCTTCTTTAAAAAACGACACTTGGTACTCCCGGGAAGGTTACATATTCTTAAAAAAAAACAGTTGGGACCCCCGAGAAGGTTTTACATTCTTAACAAAAACATTTGGCGTCTCCGAGCAAGTTTTACATTCTTAAAAATATACATTTGGGACCCCAGAGAAGGTTTTACATTAAAAAAAGAGAGTTGGACCCCCGAGAAGGTTTCACATTAAAAAAAAAAGACATTTGGCGCCCCTGAGAAGGTTTTACATTTTTAGAAAAGACAGTTGGAATTCCTGAGAAGATTTCACATTCTTAAAATTACACATTTGAGGTCCCCGAGAAGGTTTCACATTCTTAAAAAAACATTTGGCGTCCCCGAAAAGGTTCTACATTAAAAAAAAAAACAATTGCGACCCCCGAGAAGGTTTCATATTAGAAAAAGGCATTTTGGGGCTCCCAGTAGGGACCCCTGGGAAGGTTTCACATTAAAAAAAAAACAATTGGGACCCCCGAGACGCTTTTACATTCTTAACAAAAACATTTGGCGTCTCCGAGCAAGTTTTACATTCTTAAAAATATACATTTGGGGCCCCGGAGAAGGTTTTACATTAAAAAAGAGAGTTGGGACCCCCGAGAAGATTTCACATTAAAAAAAAGACATTTGGCGCCCCTGAGAAGGTTTTACATTTTTAAAAAAGACAGTTGAGACTCCTGAGAAGATTTCACATTCTTAAAATTACACATTTGAGGCCCCCGAGAAGGTTTCACATTCTTGAAAAAACATTCGGACCTCCCCGAAAAGGTTCTACATTAAAAAAAACAATTGGGACCCCCGAGAAGGTTTTACATTTTAAGAAAATAGAGTTGGGATCCCTGAAAAGGTTTCACATTCTAAAAAAAACATTTGACGCCCCCGAGAAGATTTTACATTTTTAAAAAAGACGATTGGGACCACCGAGAAAGTTTCACATTTTTTAAAAAGACAATTGGGACCTCCGAGAAGGTTTTACATTAAAAAAAAGACAGTTGGCACCCCCGAGAAGGTTTCACATTCTTAAAAAAAGACATTTGGGGCCCTCGAGAAGGTTTCACATTCAAAAATGGCATTTTGGGGATTTTTAAAAAAGACAATTGGAACCCCCGAGAGGGTTTCATATTTTTAAAAATACACATTTGAGGCCTCCGAGAAGATTTTACATAAAAAAAAATGCAGCTGGAACCCCGAGAAGGTTTCACATTAAAAAAAAAAAACATTCGGCGTCCCCGAGAAGGTTCTACATTAAAAAAAAAACAATTGGGACCCCTGAGGAGGTTTTACAGTTTTAAAAAAGACAGTTGAGATCCCTGAGAAGGTTTCACGTTCTAAAAAAAACATTTGGCGCCCCCGAGAAGATTTGACAATTGGGACCTCCGAGAAGGTTTTACATTAAAAAAAAAGATAGTTGGGACCCCCGAGCAGGTTTCACATTCTTAAAAACAGACATTTGGGGCCCTCGAGAATGTTTCACATTCAAAAAAGGTATTTTGGGGATCCCAAGAAAGTTTTACATTTTTAAAAAAGATACTCCTAGTTGGGATTCCTGAGAAGGTTTCGTATTCTAAAAAAAAAAACATTTGGCGCCCCCAAGAAGGTTTTATATTATTAAATAAAGACGGGCGTATTCTCGTCTTTTCGAGTAAGTGGGGTAATTTCATCAATAAAAAATTTGTCATGTCATAATTATAAACATGATAATACACAATGCGAGAGAAAAAGAGAAAAAAAAAAAAAGAAAAAAAAACGAAGGTCCAAGTTTGGAATCAAATGCGCGACGTCCAGTCCTCACTCCTGACTCAAATCGAATTCGTACACCACACTTATCAGTGGCGGCTCGTGACCTTTTGAAATGGGGGGGACACAATTTGATTGATGAGTTAAATATGAAGATATAAAATAGGTTGTTATTACCAATTAATAGACGAAATTTTGTGACGGAAATATATAAATAAATACAAAAATACATTCAGTAAACGTAAAAAAGTATGTGTCCACATACCTTCGTGTCGTAGATCATCCACGCCAGTATTAATCCAGGGACATGGTCTCCTATTACTGAGGAGATACACAAAACAAATTAATTTATTATTTTTTTCACAACCACATATCCACGAATATTTATCATAGTGTTACATCTATTAAAATATCTATGAAAGTCTCTTGTTTTGCCATGAACACTTTTTTTTTATTAATAAATCGGGAGTGGCTCTCCCAAAATTGTTACTAAAATGTTACCGTCCTGACACAGAGAACTATTTTTTATTAAATATTCAACCGAATTCATTATTTTTATTTAAAATCAAACAATTTCACTCGCCCAGAATGAAAACTAAAACCCGCAATTGCTGGTGATCACTGTCGGAACAGAACCCGATTCCAGCCTAATAGCGCGACTAGACGCACGGTTTCCACGGTGTAAAAATGGTCTAAATGAGCAATGATTTGGTCTCCGTCTCCGCTTTTATCAGCACTTCATCAGCAATAACATATCATATATCCAAGACACATCATTAGGTGTAAGTTTTGATCCACTTTATACCAGTGGCGCGAGATAAAAAAATTAGTTTTGATAATTATGCTACAAATTTCCGGATATTTTTTTTAAATAATGAAAATTACTATTTTGCTATGTCCAGTGTATTTGTAGACGTTGTAATTTGGGAGGAGGGATGAGTAGCAAAATTTTGGTCAGCATTTAACTGTCTACATGATATTTCTAATATAGAACAATCGGTCCAGCAGTTTCGGAGAATACGTGTGTAAAAAATGGGTACACACACCAGACAGACAGACAAACGGAAACCGGAGACGATTTTTTTCGTACTCTAGAGGTTATGAAACGTCGAAAAAATACAAAAGTGGTCATTTGTCCGATATACTCGATTACTATATTTCCTTAGCTTGCGTTTGGGAAGTAAAAACTTATAAAATTTGGCAACTTCGGAGATTAACTATTCAATAAGTATCGATACAAACGACAGATAGACAGAAACGGCAGACCTTATTCTTCATAGTCTAGGCTAGGAGTCATGAAAAGTCGAAAAACATAAAAGTAGCCACTGGCCGGAAGTACTCAACTTTAGTTTCGCCAGTTCTAATTCGGATTTATGAGAGTACCCCATTGTGCAAAAGTTAACTTCCTTAACAATATAATACTATAGCCGGTGATGGCATAGTCATCTCGTAAATAAGGATTTAACTATGCCGTTACCACTATACAGTATAATGGTTAAATCTTTATTTATGACTGTCCCATCACCGGCAATAGTCATCTATTGTTAAGGAAGTTATCTTTTACGCATCATAAAACCGTATTAGAACTGGGGAAACTATACAATACTTCCTTAGCTTACGCTCGGGAAGGACAAGTTAAAAACAAGGAAATAAAAAAAATCAAGGAATTTGAGAAGAAGTTAATAAAAATTTATTGTGACAGACAACTGAAAGAAGTTTTATGTCTAAAAACGGTCTGCGGTTTGCCTGTTGATTTAATTGACTTAACTGTCTGGAACTTCAATTAAAACGAAGAATATCGCATTACTTTCATTGCGAAATTAAGAATTATGAAACTCAGCAATTTATGTGAACTGTTATATAAACTTATATATATGTGCAAATAACTAGAAAAATAAAACTTTAAACAAAACGAACACAGTTATTTTAAATTTCAGAATGGTCTACGACAATGCCGATAATTATACTTCATCCATTCGGTCACTATGGCTTGTTGTGTCAGATATCGACTACGTGGTAAATATTGCACAAAAAGTTTGTAAAATAATTGTGATAAAAATCAAGGCGGATTCATAAACCAGAAATACAGGGGTACTTAATTTTATACAATTAAAATAGTATACTTATAGGTACTACGCAAAATTTTGAAGTGTCATCGTCAAATTATTGGTAGGATGGCCAGACAAAATTCTTTATTTAAAATGATTTAAAACGTGAATAACGTGCCGTAACTGTTTATCGCATATAAAATAAAATCAACTATTAAAACTGTGATAAGAAGTTTTTAAGCAATTAACCTACGCGTGGTACGCTGCAACAACCTATCACACAATACAATCGTTAAGGTGCAACAGGTAACTAATGAATTAAAAGTAAAACGTAATCATTGTTTACGGTAGAAACAATTACGAAACGCGATAACATTTTTTGTGTTTGGTCAAAGAGATATAAGTTCAGCCACACTAAATGCATACAAATTTTAAAACGTGATAATTGTTCATTTTACTGCTTTAATTTTAAGCCGCATAATTTTCCTCGATGACAATTTCGACATTTTCAGCACAAGCGGCGTGAATTTCTTGGAAAATAATTGTAATTATAATCAAATAAAACATGTCATGCGAATGTCCGATTTTATCAGAGTCCTCTTTGCCAATCCGTTCAAGTTGAACTTCATTCGAGCTAAGCGCGTTAGTTTGACGACAGCTATCTGCTGTGAAGGCGCGCTCCCAAACACACGCTGAAACTTCAAAAACTTAACTCTCCCTCCAAAAAATTTATTTTAAAAACTCTAAGTTAAGCGGATGAATTGCAGTAACAAACGAGAGAAAAAAAGTTGTGTGAAAAATCGTGAGTTGGTGCTTACAATTAAATATTTTTCTGTATGTGGTGCGTTAGAAGTTAATCGATAAACTTTACCTAAGTATTCTGAAATAGGTTCAAATTATACCTTGGCCGTAAATGTCGTAACAAGTTACCCTAAACGAAGAGTTACGTGTTTCGTTCCCAATTTTAGCCCATTTAACTAATGAAAATGCAACCAATTAAAAGGCCGTTAATATCACTTGCCATGCCAGAAAATTGTTGTCTACATTAACACCTAATTAAAATGAAATAAAAACAAACCATGTCTTCTACAAATATTTACGAAAATTTGCCACTGAAAAAGCTCAACAGCGACGACTCCTCGAAGACCCGTAACGGCCAAAACTCCGAGGTCAAGCAGAAGAAGAGAAAAAGCACGCCCGACATCCAGAAAGTCTCTCCACAAAATAACATTCCAAAAAAGCCGAAATCCTCCAGAAGCATTTCTGAGATGTTCTTCAACAGGAACCTTGAGCACGCTGACAACGCTGACAGAGAAAGTGAAGAAAATTTGACCAGTGGCGGAGAAAAAATTGACGCTGAAGAGAGTTGCAAGAAAGTTCAATCTACTCCGACGTCTACTCTAGACGATGGTTACGAGTCTTGCAACAGCACTCCTTTAGTTTCAGGTTTGTTGAATTTACATTTATTACGCAAATTTACTTTCCTAGACGCGACGCTATTCACGTACTGTCTGAGAGTGAGACTGTTTTTCGCAGAAAGTCGCAGTATGTACAGCATGCCAAAAATTGTGGGGTTTTTGGCCTTGTAAACATGATGAAATCTGTGATGTCAAGTGGGGCTACATTATTTTTTATGAGGTAATATCCAGTGGCGGATTAAAGAAACTACAGATAGGAAAATAATTGCTACTTTAAAAGCATTACAGGGTTTTACGAATGAAGTGTGAAGTGCAGTTACGATAACAAATTTCACTTATGTTATAAGCGATTTAATTATACGGGCCTGTCGCAATAGAAAGACGATAATACCTCGTATTTAAAAATCCAAATGAATTGTTTTTGTCCTAGGCCATACCTTACTATTAATTATTTTCGCATTACAATAGTTGTAATAACAAAGGATTTGCCACCTTTGTCCCGCAACGCATACATTAAAAGTTTCACGAATCTATTTTGCCTATTATAAATATTAAAAGATAATTATTAAATCAAACACGACCTTGGTTTTGATATATTTTAATAAAAAATTGCTTATGGTTAATTAATATTTATGAGGCAATTTTCAATCTGTGGCATAACGGTTTCTATTCTTGCAAGCGCTAAACTGTGTCAAAATTTTTTACCAACGCATTTAAAAAACGTAGGACTTTCATGAAGAAAAAAACAAAAACAAGGCAATAAAACTGTCGATAAATTGTTACCTGTGTCAAAAGTGCAAGCGTGCGAATTTATCATAACTATGAAAAGGTTAAACGCTCCTTTAGAGCTTTAGTATAATTAATTGGAATTTACATTTGGTTTGTTACGTTCTGTCCGAGCTGTGAGAAACTCAACAGGTGGTGTTTTCATTTTTACAACTCGCGAAAAAATAAATTATGATACGAAACTGTTACGGCCATGACAATGATGACAAGTTGGTGTCTGCCAACGAATATAAGTTATAGGAATTAAGAATATAAAAATAGGTGTTGTATACATTTAAAAATTGCGTGCGTTTCAGTGATTTTTTCAGCAAACAATTAAAATTGAGCAAATAGTTTCCTATTAAATTATTTGTAGTGGCTAAAGGCGTCCAGCTGAAAAATGTTTGCGTAAAGACTTACCGCACTGTTGAAGTGTATTTTGGTTCATTAAAATACAATTAGTTTGGTTGTTTGAGTTTGCACTTACATACTATTCATGCGTTTAAAACCATTATGTAAATAAATAAAGTGCACAATAACAAGCTGTTAAGTTGTTGGCGTGTTTAAGTAGAATTTTAGCACCGTTGTACGTACACCATTTCAGATCAGTTTTAGATTGGTGCTGCGACTATTTTAATTTGCAATCTGTGGACAATAGGCAGTTCAATTAAATAGAGTTGTCGCGCTGTTAAATTTTAATACTTAGTTTTAAACGTAGCCTATCAACCAAAATAGGTAGCACTTAGTTTTTAAAAGGTTCAACAAAATATTACTGTCTAATTTAAACGAACTGTACTTATTTTTCTGAAACGGAAGTGGGTTAAAATTAATACCGTTGAAGACTGCTGGGATTGTATAATCAGGCAGTGAGAGTAAGTTATAAATAAAAATTCTATTCTTTAGAATTTAGGCGTGTGGTGAGAAAACGACATCTTTTAGTTATTTTAAGTTGGAGGTGGATCATCATTAAGATGATTTATATTTAGCGAAAATAGATTTGATTTAGTGTAACTTTTGACCAAAACGTCAACGAGACACATTATACATCGTATTATTAAATAAATATAGTTTTATCTTAATTTTCGGTTTTAATTTTGATTGCATTTTTGACATGTGGTATTAAACGGATTAAGAAAAGTATATTTAACTAGGCTTTAAGTAAAGATTTAAACAAATATGCTTTTAAATACTACACACAAGCATAGCGAATATTTATATAAGACAAGAGTATAATTACTGCACACTTTTGAAGTAGGTTTTAGCAGTTTTTCAAAAAAAAAAAGGAGTAGCTACGTACACAATTTTGGCGTGTCGTTTTAAATTGGATGTAATGTTGTTAAAATGTTCAAAACGAATGCTCATTTTATAATACTCATTTTGATTAACTATTTCAATGACAAAAGCAGGGCGCACTAAATTAGACGTAGTGTGAGTGAGTGTAAATGGTTGTAGTTATTGTCCATCATGTCAACAACATCATTGACGATAAACACATTGTTTGGAATTTGGTTTGAGTACTAGAAAAGAAACGAAGAGTTCATATGTAGTGCGCATTTCTTACGGAAATTTAATTATTTTTCAAGAGTTTAAAAGAAGACAATGTTTAGTCGCCGTTCTTAATGCTAATATTAATAGCCTAAGGCAAGTGTATACCTATAATTTTACTTTTTATTAATGGCAGTTTTGGCTGAAAACATAGCCCCGATCTGAATGTAGAGACCACATATTATTTTAAAACTTTGCAATTTAATTAATTAAGTTAATTAATGGCGTTTATTTTTGGAAGGTAAACTAGTGGCTTAAGTGCAATCTTATTGGTTCAAAAACCGCACAGAAAATACTAAATGTTGTTCAGGACGTATTTTTCAGTAAGACTTTATTTAATATTTTTTTGGCACTATGTTTTCGAATTTTGGATTAAATTTTAGTCTACAGGGTCGCTAGAATGTTTGAAAACGGTTAAATCACTTGAGAATCAATTGTACAAATCACCTGAAATTAAGTATAGGGGTACAAGAAGTTGTGCTCTAATTTATTCGTCAAAAAAATTTTGTTTGCTTCATTTGTTTTCGAGAGGCAAGGCCAACTAGATTTTTTTTAACCACATAATTAATGCATTTTTGAATAGAGTTTTTTGAATTCATTGATGTAGCACAATAATACTTTCTTTCTGACTGAAATGGCAAAATAAATTATTTAAATAAGAATAAATAAAAAAAATGGCATAGTTCCTTTACAAATAATTTTAATTTGACATGTAAGCTGTTTCTTGCAAAAATGGTGCATCTAAGTGAAACTGAACGCATAGGATCATTAATGATTATCGGTTACGGTAACAAAAGACAAAGTTTTGGTGAAGTAGTAACACTTTTTAATGAAATTCATCCTGAATGAGAGCCCATTTCTAAGTCGACGCTTTCAAAGCCCCACGAATATTTAATGAAACTGGAAGTGTTAAAGAACGTCCAAAATCTGGCAGGCCAAAAACTGCTACAAATGATGAAAATACCCTTAATGTGCTCTTAAACGCAACATAAAATCCCAAAACGTTAGTGCAACAATTAGCGCTGAATCACAATGTCAGTAGAAAATCAATAATGAAAAATTAAAAGTTTCACCCATACAAAATCCATTTGGTACAAGAGCTAAAAGAAGATCATTTTGATCGTAGAGTTGTTTACCGAAATTATTATAAGCAGAATACAACAAGACGGAAATTTTATCAACAGACTTTTGTTTTCTGTCGAATCTACGTTTTGTTTAAATGGTCATGTGAACAGACGCAACTGCACGTACTGGTCTGAGACAAATCCATATTCGATGGAGCAAATCCACACATGGCGTCCAGAAAAACTGAATGTTTGGTGCGGTATAATTGGTTACCATGTATTGGTCGTTTTTTTGTTAATGGGAATTACATTTTTTTTTATTTGGTTTCAACAAGACGGTGCCCCACCCCATTTTGGACGTCAAGTGTGACAGTACTTAAATAAAACTTTTCCTGGTAGATGGACAGCCACCGGATTTGACACCATTGGACTTTTTTTTGAGGGGCTATTTGAAGAATCGCGTTTGTATCAATAGATCAATTCACATTGAAAACTTACAGGAACGCATACGTAACGAATTGCTAGCATTCATCGAGAAATTATCATTAACTCACTTTTGAACATCTCTTGTAGAAAACAAAAGTTTAATTTTGGTTTTGGTTAATTTATTTATTGTTTAATATTAATTAAAATTTATAATAATAATTATTAATTTATTTAATTATTGATTAATAATTTATTTTGACATTTCAATCAGAAAGACAGTATGATTGTGCTATATTAATGAATTCCGAAAAAAAGCTCTTTTCGAAAATGAGTTAATTATATGGTAGTGCCGTTTAAAAAAAATCAAATTGGCCTTGCATCTCGAAAACAAATGAAGCAAAAAATTTTGTTTTGATGAATAATTCGAGCACAACTTTTTGTAGAGTAGCTGCTAAGATAAGACTGACTTTGGCAGATTAGATAACCTCCAAGAAAAGAGAGGGCGGGGGGGGGGGCGGGGGTAGCACCTGCTAAGGTAAAACTGATTTTGGCAAATGGCATAACTTCTAAGAAAAGAGAGGGTGGGTGGGGCTAGCACCTGCTAAGGTGAAACTGATTTTGGCAAATGGCATAACTTCTAAGAAAAGAGAGGGTGGGTGGGTGGGGCTAGTACCTACCTGTTAAGACTGATGTATTCAGGAACGATAATTATTTGAAAAAAACAGGGAAATATTTGCTGAAGTATTGTTTGTTTCATATGTAGATGATAAAAGATGAAGTGATAAAAACTAAGAATAAAGTTTATGACCTTAGAAATAGCTGAAAATTACAAGAATGATAAACACACCTTTCTTGTTATTATATGTATCTTAGATCCCTTCGGGACATTATCTTCACAACTTGTACTCAGGTAGTAGTAGTTTTGAATTAATTGAAATATTTTTCGGGAATATTCTACGTAGGTAATTTTAAAAAATAAATCCATATTTATGACACATAAGTAAAGCAGCATTTCAGGTATATTTTTCAGTAAATTTTCATTCTATTTTTTTGAGAACACAACGTTTTTCTATAGAGGAAATAATAATAATAATAGCAATAATACCCAGATTTCAGAAAAATTAAACAAAAAACTATATTGTTTTGGAGTAAATATTATATGAAAAAAGGGGAAGGATTATTAAAATGGTAAATCTACATTTTCGTACTTAATCAAGAAATCATTCGA